GGCCCGGGAAGTGGACATTACAGATCTACATCTGAGATCTCTTCTACTTCTTCAAGTGATACACTAGTGTAGTCAGAACGGCCCCGGGGAGTGGGTATCACAGATCTACATCTGAGATCACTTCTACTTCTCAAAGTGACACACTAATGTAGTCAGAACGGCCCAGGTAAGTGGGTATCACAGATCTACATCTGAGATCACTACTTCCTGTTCAAGCGACACACTAATGTAGTCAGAACGGCCCAGGAAAGTGGGTATCACAAATCTACATCTGAGATCACTACTTCCTCTTCAAGCGACACACTAATGTGGTCAGAACGACCCAGGGAAGTGGACATCACAGAGCTACATCTGAGATCACTACTTCTTCAAGTGACACACTGGTGCAGACAGAACGGCCCGAGGAAGTGGACATCACAGATCTACATCTGAGATCTCTACTTCCTCTTCTTCAAGTGACACACTCGTGTAGTCAGAACGGCCCAGGTAAGTGGGTATCACAGATCTACATCTGAGATCACTACTTCCTGTCCAAGCGACACACTAATGTAGTCAGAACGGCCCCGGGGAGTGGGTATCACAGATCTACATCTGAGATCACTACTTCTTCAAGTGACACGCTAATGTAGTCAGAACGGCCCGGGGAAGTGGACATCACAGATCTACATCTGAGATCACTACTTCCTCTTCAAGTGACACACTAGTGTAGTCAGAACGGCCCAGGAAGTGGACATCACAGATCTACATATGAGATCACTACTTCCTCTTCAAGTGACACACTAGTGTAGTCAGAACAGCCCCAGGAAGTGAGTATCACAGATCTACATCTGAGATCTCTACTTCTTCAAGTGACACACTAGTGTAGTCAGAACGGCCCAGGGAAGTGAGTATCACAGATCTACATCTGAGATCACTACTTCTTCAAGTGACACACTAGTGTAGTCAGAACGGCCCGGAGAAGTGAGTATCACAGATCTACATCTGAGATCACTACTTCTTCAAGTGACACACTAGTGTAGTCAGAACGGCCCGGGAAAGTGAGTATCACAGATCTACATCTGAGATCACTACTTCCTCTTCAAGCGACACACTAATGTAGTCAGAACGACCCAGGGAAGTGGACATCACAGAGCTACATCTGAGATCACTACTTCTTCAAGTGACACACTGGTGCAGACAGAACGGCCCGAGGAAGTGGACATCACAGATCTACATCTGAGATCTCTACTTCCTCTTCTTCAAGTGACACACTCGTGTAGTCAGAACGGCCCAGGTAAGTGGGTATCACAGATCTACATCTGAGATCACTACTTCCTGTTCAAGCGACACACTAATGTAGTCAGAACGGCCCCGGGGAGTGGGTATCACAGATCTACATCTGAGATCACTTCTACTTCTCAAAGTGACACACTAATGTAGTCAGAACGGCCCAGGTAAGTGGGTATCACAGATCTACATCTGAGATCACTACTTCCTCTTCAAGCGACACACTAATGTAGTCAGAACGACCCAGGGAAGTGGACATCACAGAGCTACATCTGAGATCACTACTTCTTCAAGTGACACGCTAATGTAGTCAGAACGGCCCGGGGAAGTGGACATCACAGATCTACATCTGAGATCACTACTTCCTCTTCAAGTGACACACTAGTGTAGTCAGAACGGCCCAGGAAGTGGACATCACAGATCTACATATGAGATCACTACTTCCTCTTCAAGTGACACACTAGTGTAGTCAGAACAGCCCCAGGAAGTGAGTATCACAGATCTACATCTGAGATCTCTACTTCTTCAAGTGACACACTAGTGTAGTCAGAACGGCCCAGGGAAGTGAGTATCACAGATCTACATCTGAGATCACTACTTCTTCAAGTGACACACTAGTGTAGTCAGAACGGCCCGGAGAAGTGAGTATCACAGATCTACATCTGAGATCACTACTTCTTCAAGTGACACACTAGTGTAGTCAGAACGGCCCGGGAAAGTGAGTATCACAGATCTACATCTGAGATCACTACTTCCTCTTCAAGTGACACACTAATGTAGTCAGAACGGCCCGGGGAGTGGGTATCACAGATCTACATCTGAGATCACTACTTCTTCAAGTGACACACTCGTGCAGACAGAACGGCCCGAGGAAGTGGACATCACAGATCTACATCTGAGATCTCTACTTCCTCTTCTTCAAGTGACACACTCGTGTAGTCAGAACGGCCCGGGGAGTGAGTATCACAAATCTACATCTGAGATCCCTTCTTTTTATTGAAGTTAAAACTTGTCCACACGGTAGAGGCGGAACTTTCCCGGCCCCGCTGTGCCACACCAGAGTAAAGTCTGTTCTGCCACGGTCAAACCGATCATTTGAATAACACTGGTCAACACACTTTTTCTGGCATAAGGTATTCCAACGGTTCATAAGGTCATTTTGGGGTGCTGATTCCAAATCTGGCATCAGTTTTTGTCTATCACATCAGGTTTTTGAGATATCAAATATTGCACTTTCAATAAAAACTGCGGAAGAAAAATATTAAATAAATGTGGATATCTACATAAAATGATATTATAAACACACTATCCTAAAAATACAGCACCATATTTTAACACTAAACCAGTCACTGCCTCGCAACAACTTGCAATCATAAGTGACGGAGTTAATATCGGGTAAAATCAATGAAAATGGGGTATGCCGACAGCCTAAAAATGAGATGTGATAGAGCAAATCTGACATCAGAGTTGGAATCGGCACCCTGAAATTAGTCTAAAACAGCTGCAAAAGTCCAGGCCAGAATCTTTTTTTTATTTTGTTGATCAGTGTCATTCGAGCTCACGAATTCTCCAAGAGCCGGAACTCGATGAAATTTAGCTCAGAATCACGGTGTGATCGTGCTCAGGGTGTTTTGTTTGTGCAGCTACTGGTGACCGGACTCAGAACATCAACTCGCTGAACCTGAAAACCCGGTTGGATCACAACTCCAATGATTGCATGGGTCTGTCTCCACGCGAGACGCTGGTGTCTATGCAATTTGGTTCTATTCGGTAAAGTCACGTAGGTAAATCGTGATTTAATTTAGTTGTTTTTTTAATTTTATTTCATTTAATATTTTACCTACGTGACTTTACAGAATAAAACCTAATAGGATGGATTCATGCAGTCACGAAAACTTCAAGTCTAGAACTGGGGTGTCTCTCTCTCTGTGAATCTATTGGTCTCCACAGGTCTAAAAGTACTTACACGCGCACGTGTACAGCTGTACACGCGTACAAGAATACATGCAGATACACGCATCCATGTGTACAACCTTATCAGACTGTAGGGGCAAGTGCTGTTAGCGAGCACCTATCAAGGCCGGCACGGCGTCGCTAACCGCTGCGCCACCGCTCCCCCCTACAACGCAGGTAAACACACCCAGGTACAACAACAACAACAACAGCAGCAGCACACTCGAAAGGCAAAGGTCCCCCGTATAGCCTCAACAGAATGTTGGGGCAAGTCTTGTTAGCACGGCACACGAGGGATGGCAAGCACCACGCCCGGCCGCCTTTGTCTCCCCTACACACCGCACCAGGTACTCGTTTCGAGGCCGAGTCGACCTAGGGGAGGCCCAGGACCGGTTCGCACGTGTTGGGAGGCGTGAGCGGGAATCGAACTCGGGTCGCCGGGTTCGTAGCGCAGCGCGCGAATCGCTGCACCACCGCTCCCAATACACACACACACACACGTACACACACATACATACACACACAAGTACACACGTACACAAGTACACACACAGGTACACACACACGTACACACACACACGTACACGCACACACACAAGTACACACACAAGTACACACACACACATACACAAGTACACACACATGTACACACACACACACAAGTACACACACACACATACACACACAGACATACACACACATACACACAGTACACACAGTACACATACACACAGTACACACACACAAGTACACACATACGTGTACACATACACACAGTACACACACACAAGTACACACATACGTATACACACACAAGTACACACACACACAAGTACACCCACACACGTACACACACAAGTACACACACACACAAGTACACACACAGGTACACACACACGTACACACACACACAAGTACACACACAGACACACAGGTATGTACACACATACACAAGTACATATACACATACACAGGTACACACACACAGTACACACACACAGTACACACACACACACAAGTACACACACACAGGTACACACACACAGTACACACACACACAAGTACACACACACAAACAAGTACACACACACAAGTCCACACACACACACAAGTCCACACACACGTACACACACACACACGTACACACACACACACGTACACACACACACACATGTACACACACACGAGTACACACACACGAGTACACACACAGATGTGCACACACACACACACATGTGCACACACAAGTACACACACACAAGTACACACACACAAGTACACACACACACAAGTACACACACACACAAGTACACACACAGACACACACAAGTACACACACACGTACACACACACACAAGTACACACACACACACGTACACACAGACACACACAAGTACACACACACAAGTACACACACACAAGTACACACACACGTACACACACACACAAGTACACACACACACAAGTACACACACAGACACACACAAGTACACACACACAAGTACACACACACAAGTACACACACACACAAGTACACACACACACAAGTACACACACAGACACACACAAGTACACACACACGTACACACACAGACACACACAAGTACACACACACGTACACACCCACACAAGTACACACACACACAAGTACACACACACACAAGTACACACACAAAGTACACACACACACGAGTACACACACACACACAAGTACACACACAGACACACACAAGTACACACACACACACGTACACACCCACACAAGTACACACACAACTCACCTGCAGCAGCTATAACCAGGACGCCGAATGACACCAACACGAGCATCACTCCTCCACCTCCACCACCTCCACCTCGTCGTCGTCTCCTCATCGTCCTCCCTCCACGGCCGATGTCCGATCAAAGGCAGCAGCCGGTGTCACCCCCACCACACATTGTCCACCTTCTCTCTCTCTCGCGTCTCTCTCTACCCCCCCCGTGTTACCCTCCCTGTCCACCCCACCAAGTCTCTGAAGCCAGCCACACACACAACGCCGCCGGTGTGTGTAGTGTGTGTGTGTGTACCACCAACCCCAGTAAACTCGTGGTGGTGGTGTGTGTGTCTCTCTCTCCTAGCCGCTGTGTCGCTCTGCACACACACACGCAGACTCCACGGCTGGGGAAGCGTGACGTCACCCCTAGCCCCACCCACTCTCGCCTAGCCCCACCCACCCCCCACCTAGCCCCACCCTCCGCCTAGCCCCACCCACCCCCCGCCTAGCCCCACCCTCCGCCTAGCCCCACCCCCCACCTAGCCCCACCCACCCCCCACCTAGCCCCACCCACCCTCGCCTAGCCCACCCACCCCCCGCCTAGCCCCACCCACCCCCCGCCTAGCCCCACCCACCCCCCACCTAGCCCCACCCACCCCCCCGCCTAGCCCCACCCACCCCCCACCTAGCCCCACCCACCCTCGCCTAGCCCACCCACCCCCCGCCTAGCCCCACCCACCCCCCGCCTAGCCCCACCCACCCCCGCCTAGCCCCACCCACCCCCCACCTAGCCCACCCACCCCCCACCTAGCCCCACCCACCCTCGCCTAGCCCCACCCACCCCCCGCCTAGCCCCACCCACCCCCCACCTAGCCCCACCCACCCCCCACCTAGCCCCACCCACCCCCCACCTAGCCCCACCCACCCTCGCCTAGCCCCACCCACCCCCCGCCTAGCCCCACCCACCCCCCGCCTAGCCCCACCCACCCTCGCCTAGCCCCACCCACCCTCCGCCTAGCCCCCACCCCCCTAGACCCACCCGCCTAGCCCCACCCACCCCCCAGCCTAGCCCCACCCACCCCCCGCCTAGCCCCACCCACCCCCCGCCTAGCCCCACCCACCCCCCGCCTAGCCCACCCACCCCCCGCCTAGCCCCACCCACCGTCGCCTAGCCCCACCCACCCCCCGCCTAGCCCCCACCCACCCTCGCCTAGCCCCACCCACCCCCCGCCTAGCCCCACCCACCCTCGCCTAGCCCCACCCACCCCCCGCCTAGCCCCACCCACCCCCCCACCTAGCCCCACCCACCCCCCGCCTAGCCCCACCCACCCCCCGCCTAGCCCCACCCACCCCCCGCCTAGCCCCACCCACCCCCCGCCTAGCCCCACCCACCCCCCGCCTAGCCCCACCCACCCCCCGCCTAGCCCCACCCACCCCCGCCTAGCCCCACCCACCCCCCGCCTAGCCCCACCCACCCCCCACCTAGCCCAACCCACCCCCCGCCTAGCCCCACCCACCCCCCGCCTAGCCCCACCCACCCTCGCCTAGCCCCACCCACCCTCGCCTAGCCCCACCCACCCCCCGCCTAGCCCCACCCACCCCCTGCCTAGCCCCACCCACCCCCCGCCTAGCCCCACCCACCCCCCACCTAGCCCCACCCACCCTCGCCTAGCCCCACCCACCCCCCGCCTAGCCCCACCCACCCCCCCGCCTAGCCCCACCCACCCCCCACCTAGCCCCACCCACCCCCCGCCTAGCCCCACCCACCCCCCGCCTAGCCCCACCCACCCTCGCCTAGCCCCACCCACCCCCCGCCTAGCCCCACCCACCCCCCGCCTAGCCCCACCCACCCTCGCCTAGCCCCACCCACCCTCCGCCTAGCCCCACCCACCCCCCGCCTAGCCCCACCCACCCTCGCCTAGCCCCACCCACCCCCCACCTAGCCCCACCCACCCCCCGCCTAGCCCCACCCACCCCCCGCCTAGCCCCACCCTCCGCCTAGCCCCACCCACCCTCGCCTAGCCCCACCCACCCCCCGCCTAGCCCCACCCTCCGCCTAGCCCTACCCACCCTCGCCTAGCCCCCACCCACCCCCCGCCTAGCCCCACCCACCCCCCGCCTAGCCCCACCCACCCCCCACCTAGCCCCACCCACCCCCCACCTAGCCCCACCCACCCCCCACCTAGCCCCACCCACCCTCGCCTAGCCCCACCCACCCCCCCGCCTAGCCCCACCCACCCCCCACCTAGCCCCACCCACCCCCACCTAGCCCCACCCACCCTCGCCTAGCCCCACCCACCCCCCGCCTAGCCCCACCCACCCCCCACCTAGCCCCACCCACCCCCCACCTAGCCCCACCCACCCTCGCCTAGCCCCACCCACCCCCCGCCTAGCCCCACCCACCCTCGCCTAGCCCCACCCACCCTCGCCTAGCCCCACCCACCCTCCGCCTAGCCCCACCCACTCTCGCCTAGCCCCACCCACCCTCCGCCTAGCCCCACCCACCCCCCGCCTAGCCCCACCCACTCTCGCCTAGCCCCACCCACCCTCCGCCTAGCCCCACCCACCCCCCACCTAGCCCCACCCACCCACCCGCCTAGCCCCACCCACCCACCCCCCGCCTAGCCCCACCCACCCTCGCCTAGCCCCACCCACCCACCCTCGCCTAGCCCCACCCACCCCCACCTAGCCCCACCCACCCACCCTCGCCTAGCCCCACCCACCCCCACCTAGCCCCACCCACCCACTCTCGCCTAGCCCCACCCACCCACCCTCGCCTAGCCCCACCCCCACCTAGCCCCACCCACCCACCCTCGCCTAGCCCCACCCACCCCCACCTAGCCCCACCCACCCACTCTCGCCTAGCCCCACCCACCCACCCTCGCCTAGCCCCACCCACCCCCACCTAGCCCCACCCACCCACCCTCGCCTAGCCCCACCCACCCCCACCTAGCCCCACCCACCCACTCTCGCCTAGCCCCACCCACCCACCCCCGCCTAGCCCCACCCACCCCCACCTAGCCCCACCCACCCACCCTCGCCTAGCCCCACCCACCCCCGCCTAGCCCCACCCACCCCCCGCCTAGCCCCACCCACCCTCGCCTAGCCCCACCCACCCCCACCTAGCCCCACCCCCGCCTAGCCCCACCCACCCCCACCTAGCCCCACCCACCCCCACTAGCCCCACCCACCCCCCGCCTAGCCCCACCCACCCTCGCCTAGCCCCACCCACTCTCGCCTAGCCCCACCCACCCCCCGCCTAGCCCCACCCACCCACCCTCGCCTAGCCCCACCCACCCCGCCTAGCCCCACCCACCCACCCCGCCTAGCCCCACCCACCCCCCGCCTAGCCCCACCCACCCACCCCCCGCCTAGCCCCACCCACCCTCGCCTAGCCCCACCCACCCACCCCGCCTAGCCCCACCCACCCTCGCCTAGCCCCACCCACCCTCGCCTAGCCCCACCCACCCTCGCCTAGCCCCACCCACCCCCACCTAGCCCCACCCACCCCCCACCTAGCCCCACCCACCCCCCGCCTAGCCCCACCCACCCCCCACCTAGCCCCACCCACCCCCACCTAGCCCCACCCACCCCTCACCTAGCCCCACCCTCCGCCTAGCCCCACCCCGCCTATTTATTTATGTATTACCGGGTGGAGGGAATCCGATGAGCTATGAAGCTCTTTGCAACAGATTGTCCAGTAAGGGGGCCATGGGGGGAGGAGGGGGAGGTCAGAACGTCACAGAAACAAACACGTAAAAATGACAGGGATTCATCTTCTTGGTTCTTTCGGTAAAGTGACGTAGAAGGGAAATAATAAAATAATAAAAATAAAACATAATAAAATTATTCTCACGACGTTTCGGCCACAACGCAAGCAGCCGTCCTCAGGTGAAGAACAGGTCTGTCGAGAAGACAGAGTCTGCTGGCCGAAACGTCGTGAGAATTGTATTTTATTATGTTTAATTTTTTATTATTTTATTATTTCCATCCTACGTGACTTTTCTGTAAAGTCACGTAGAAGGGAAATAAAAAAAGTAATAAAACATAAAATGCTTTATTTTTATTATTTTATTATTTCCCTTCTAATAAAAAAAAGTAATAAAACATAAAATGCTTTATTTTTATTATTTTATTATTTTCCTTCTACGTGACTTTACTTTAGAAGGGAAATAATAAAATAATAAAACATTAAATGCTTTTATTTTATTATTTCCCTTCTACGTGACTTTGTGGATTCTAGTGATGTTCTAGAAGGGATAGAGAGCTGAGTGATGTGAATTCTAGTGATGTTCTAGAAGGGATAGGGAGATAATGTGAATTCTAGTGATGTTCTAGAAGGGATAGAGAGATAATGTGAATTCTAGTGATATTCTAGAAGGGATAGAGAGCTGAGTGATGTGAATTCTAGTGATGTTCTAGAAGGGATAGAGAGCTGAGTGATGTGAATTCTAGTGATGTTCTAGAAGGGATAGAGAGCTGAGTGATGTGAATTCTAGTGATGTTCTAGAAGGGATAGAGAGCTGAGTGATGTGAATTCTAGTGATGTTCTAGAAGGGATAGAGAGCTGAGTGATGTGAATTCTAGTGATGTTCTAGAAGGGATAGAGAGCTAAGTGATGTGAATTCTAGTGATGTTCTAGAAGAGATAGAGAGCTGAGTGATGTGAATTCTAGTGATGTTCTAGAAGGGATAGAGAGCTGAGTGATGTGAATTCTAGTGAAGTTCTAGAAGGGATAAAGAGATAATGTGAATTCTAGTGATGTTCTAGAAGGGATAGAGAGATAATGTGAATTCTAGTGATGTTCTAGAAGGGATATAGAGCTGAGTGATGTGAATTCTAGTGATGTTCTAGAAGGGATAGAGAGCTGAGTGATGTGAATTCTAGTGATGTTCTAGAAGGGTTAGAGAGCTGAGTGATGTGAATTCTAGTGATGTTCTCGAAGGGCTAGAGAGATAATGGGAATTTTAACCACGTTCTTGAAGGGCTAGAGAGCTGAGTGATGTGAATTATAGTGATGTTCTAGAAGGGCTAGAGAGCTGAGTGATGTGAATTCTAGTGATGTTCTAGAAGGGATAGAGAGCTGAGTGATGTGAATTATAGTGATGTTTTAGAAGGGCTAGAGAGATAATGGGAATTCTAATCATTTTCAAGAAGGGCTGGAGAGCAGAGTGATGCGAATTCTAGTGATGTTCTAGAAGGGATAGAGAGATAATGGGAGTTTTAACCACGTTCTTGAAGGGCTAGAGAGCTGAGTGATGTGAATTCTAGTGATGTTCTCGAAGGGCTAGAGAGATAATGGGAATTTTAACCACGTTCTTGAAGGGCTAGAGAGCTGAGTGATGTGAATTCTAGTGATGTTCTAGAAGGGCTAGAGAGCTGAGTGATGTGAATTCTAGTGATGTTCTAGAAGGGATAGAGAGCTGAGTGATGTGAATTCTAGTGATGTTCTAGAAGGGATAGAGAGCTGAGTGATGTGAATTCTAGTGATGTTCGAGAAGGGATAGAGAGCTGAGTGATGTGAATTCTAGTGATGTTCGAGAAGGGATAGAGAGCTGAGTGATGTGAATTCTAGTGATGTTCTAGAAGGGATAGAGAGCTGAGTGATGTGAATTCTAGTGATATTCCAGAAGGGCTAGAGAGCTGAGTGATGTGAATTCTAGTGATGTTCTAGAAGGGATAGAGAGCTGAGTGATGTGAATTCTAGTGATGTTCTAGAAGGGATAGAGAGCTGAGTGATGTGAATTCTAGTGATGTTCTAGAAGGGATAGAGAGCTGAGTGATGTGAATTCTAGTGATGTTCTAGAAGGGATAGAGAGCTGAGTGATGTGAATTCTAGTGATGTTCTAGAAGGGATAGAGAGCTGAGTGATGTGAATTCTAGTGAAGTTCTAGAAGGGATAGAGATAATGTGAATTCTAGTGATGTTCTAGAAGGGATAGAGAGATAATGTGAATTCTAGTGATGTTCTAGAAGGGATATAGAGCTGAGTGATGTGAATTCTAGTGATGTTCTAGAAGGGATAGAGAGCTGAGTGATGTGAATTCTAGTGATGTTCTAGAAGAGATAGAGAGCTGAGTGATGTGAATTCTAGTGATGTTCTAGAAGGGTTAGAGAGCTGAGTGATGTGAATTATAGTGATGTTTTAGAAGGGCTAGAGAGATAATGGGAATTCTAATCATTTTCAAGAAGGGCTGGAGAGCGGAGTGATGTGAATTCTAGTGATGTTTTAGAAGGGCTAGAGAGATAATGGGAATTCTAATAATTTTCAAGAAGGGCTGGAGAGCTGAGTGATGCGAATTCTAGTGATGTTCTAGAAGGGATAGAGAGATAATGGGAGTTTTAACCATATTCCAGAAGGGCTGGAGAGCTGAGTGATGTGAATTTATTCTACTAATGGACTGTCAGGTGGTGGCAGGTTTAACAACACATTTATATTAACGCAATCTACAAAAACAAAAACCTCTCCTCTGGATATTCTGGACTATTTTAACCGGATCTGCAGCACAGAGCTGAAAGCCCTTTGGTGGAAGGCGTTGGAATACAAGAGGCTAAACGGTCACCGCTTTTTGCTGACCATGCAGCGTTAATAGGCGGTGAATAGGCAGACATACAGGGGGGGGGGGCGGACTTCAGACGCAACCACGCATATAGATTGCTGCTCAGAAAAGAAGACAACGTATGATCATCATCATCATCATGGCTTGGCTTCGCGAACGAAGATCTAGGAAGGACATCCACGTCTTCTGCAGGCACGCTGGTGGCTGAAGAGGCCTATGTGGGACAAGCAGGTCCTGCCACAACAGCTGCAAGTATAGGTCTGATCTGGGATGGGTGCTGAGGGATCATGGTTCATCCTCCTCCTCCTTTTGTCCTCCATTCGGGCCCTGCGGGTATCTTCTAAGAAGGCGGTGGCTTGGTGGACTGTGTGCCGCCAGGAGTTGCGATCAGCTGCTTGTGTTGCCCACTGACGGTGATCGATGCAGCAAGCAGTGAGGCACAGACATTCGCGTTTACGTTACTTTATTTTGTTGGATCACAGTCAACGCCCACCGCCCGCCACTTCCCCCCGCCTCCTTATAACAGCGGCCAAATACTCGAAAACGCGTGACGTTAGATTCTAAAAGTGGCGGGGGGAAAAAACCAGAGGGCACGGAAAAAAAATCTACGTTACCACGGGGCGAGAGAGACACAAACTCCAAATATACAGCAGCAGGCGTCGGGCTTGAACCCACGCTCTCCTCGATATATCAGGCGACGTAGTCAACATCTCCTAGCCACCGTGATGACGATGAGAGACGCAAATTCCAAATATACAGCAGGCGTCAGGGTCGGGATTGAACCCACGACCTCCTGCATACCAGGCGACGTAGTCAACATCTCCTAGCCACCGTGATGACGATAAACAAGACACGCAGAGTCCAAATATACAGCAGGCGTCAGGGTCGGGATTGAACCCACGACCTCCCGTATACACCAGGCGAGGGAGTTAAACATCTCCTAGCCACCACGATGCCATTTGTGTTTTCAGCTCTTTGCATACGAAACGCGATTGCGTATTTGCAAAATAGCCATTGTTGTCTTCTTGGTTCTTTCGGTAAAGTCACGTAGAATGGAAATAATAAAATAATAAAAATAAAACATAATAAAATAATTCTCACGACGTTTCGGCCACAACGCAAGCAGCCGTCCTCAGGTGGAGAACAGGTCTGTCGAGGAGACAGCTTGCGTTGTGGCCGAAACGTCGTGAGAATCATTTTATTGTTTTATTTTTATTATTTTATTATTTCCCTTCTACGTGACTTTACCGAAAGAACCAAGAATATGAATCTGCAGTCACGAAAGCTTTAAATCGAAATTTAAGTTCTCGCAAGCTCGTCATTTCTTTCAAAACGAATTTCTTTCGAACTGATTTTTGCGTATTCTTGGTTCTTTCAGTAAAGTCACGTAGAAGGGAAATAATAAAATAATATAATATAAATTATTACTTCCATTCTACGTGACTTTACCGAAAGAACCAAGAAGATGAATCCCTGCAGTCACGAAAGCTTTAAATCGAAATGTAGCCATTGTTGCTCCAGTTTTCTGCGCCTCGTAGAAGGTTGTGAAGACAACGACTCCTTGATGGCGAGAGACGGGGAAGTCGTCACAGCAGCGCGCGACTTGTGGAAGACGACGCGAAAGATGTCATACCGCATCAACCCACACGGTTTACCCCGTATTCTTGTGCAGGGAAAACTGGGGTTTTCAGGTCCAAACGGCGTACAGCCGTTTCAATACGGCCAACAACTTTTGCTTGTCTATTTGTTTGTGTTTCTCCCTCGTGATGGGACTTTGTAGGATGAACGTTGAGATTTAAAAGTGGCAAGGGGGGTGACCAGTAAAATCTGAACTGGTCTGTAACAAGGTGGGACACTGATAAGGGGTTGTGAGTGTAGTGGTGAGTGTAGTAGTGAGTGTAGTGGTGATTGTCGATTTGTGTTTCTCCCTCGTGATGGGACTTTGTAGGATGAACGTTGAGATTTAAAAGGGGCAAGGGGGGGTGACCAGTAAAGTCTGAACTGGTCAGTAACAAGGTGGGACACTAATAAGTGGGGGGGGGGGGTGTTGTGACAGGTGTGAGAATCTCCCAACTGCGTCGACGGTCGTGACCGCGTGCGCCGCCGCCGTCACAGCCACTGTCGTCACGGCGTGCTGTCGTCACAGCGTGCTGTCGTCACATCCGCTGTCGTCACAGCGTGCTGTCGTCACAGCGTGCTGTCGTCACATTCGCTGTCGTTACAGCGTGCTGTCGTCACATCCACTGTCGTCACAGCGTGCTGTCGTCACAGCGTGCTGTCGTCACAGCGTGCTGTCGTCACAGCCACTGTCGTCACAGCGTGCTGTCGTCACATCCGCTGTCGTCACAGCGTGCTGTCGTCACAGCGTGCTGTCGTCACATCCACTGTCGTCACAGCGTGCTGTCGTCACAGCGTGCTGTCGTCACATCCGCTGTCGTCACAGCGTGCTGTCGTCACAGCGTGCTGTCGTCACAGCGTGCTGTCGTCACAGCCACTGTCGTCACAGCGTGCTGTCGTCACATCCGCTGTCGTCACAGCGTGCTGTCGTCACAGCGTGCTGTCGAGCGGCGCCGCCGCCTTGGGCAGGGGGTTGTAACCGATCCGCTCGTTGAACGACTTCTGCCTCGCGTCTCGCGACGTCGTCGGAGTTTCGGCGCCTCCCGCCGACGTGTCAAGGCGCTCCCTGCGAGCCTGGACCCCACCGGCGGGGAGGAATACACGAGACGTGAAGGGTTTGGGCCATCAGCCGATTACACTGGTCAACAAAAAAAAACATTTTTTTCTGGCCTGGACTTTTGCAGCTGTTTTAGACTAGTTTCAGGGTGCCGATTCCAAATCTGATCTCAGATTTGCTCTATCACATCTCATTTTTATGCTATCAGCATACCCCATTTTCATTGATTTTACCCGAAATTAACTGTCACTTATGATTGCAAGTTGTTGCGAGTCAGTGACTGCTTTAGTGTTAAAATATGGCGCTGTATTTTTAGGATGGTGTGTTTATAATATCATTTTATGTAGATATCCACATTAATTTAATATTTTTCTTCCGCAGTTTATATTGAAAATGCAATATTTGATATCTCAAAAACCTGATGTGATAGACAAAAACTTATGCTAGATTTGGAATCAGCACCCCAAAATTACCTTAAAACCGTTTGAATACCTTATGCCAGAAAAAGTGTGTTGACCAAGGTTAGATATATTTTTTTATTAAAATAAAAACTACGTAGAATTTGACTTAAAACTTTCGTGACTGCAGAAATTCATTTTCTTGGTTCTTTCGGTAAAGTCACGTTGATAGAAAATAAAATAAAAATTAAATTTTAAATAAGAGCAAAAAACCCAAGACGTTTCGATCGCAACACAAGCGGGCTTCATCTATGTGACTTCACCGAAAGAACCAAGAATACGTAAAAGACAATTCACTTATAACAACGTCCACAGCCGTTTGGCTGTCCGCCCGATGATGAAGCTGGTTGTAATTACTGGCGAAACGTCGTACTCCGATTGTAAATGTTGTGGATTTGCTCTCCAACACACCGGTGTGCTGTACTAGTATACTATACACTACACTAGATACTACACTACATACTACTACAGTATACACTACACTATATACTACACTATATACTACTACAGTAGACACTACACTACACTATATACTACTACAGTAGACACTACACTACACTATATACTACTACAGTATACACTACACTATACACTACTACAGTATACACTACACTATACACTACTACACTATACACTACTACACTATACACTACTACACTATACACTACTACACTATACACTACTACACTATAAACTACTACACTACACACTACTACACATATACACTAGTGCTGTACTAGTAACGAATTGGCACGTTCTGTTTTCGTGAAAAACCTTACTAATTGGCCGTGTCGGGTGGTGGCGGATTTAACGACACATTTATATTTACGCGATCTGGCACACAAAAAAAACATCAATAGATGATATTGGTCGTGAAAGCCTACTGCGTGTTAAAGTTATAACGACGTATTAACCTTACATCGTTGTGATCGTTCTCGCCTAGATTCGCTACCGGGAAAGGTGAACTATGCCCGGCGAAGCGACTAGGCCTCAAGACCCCGAGGCCGTTCTCGCCTAGATTCGCTACCGGGAAAGGTGAACTATGCCCGGCGAGACAACTAGGCCTCAAGACCCCGAGGCCCTTCTCGCCTAGATTCGCTACCGGGAAAGGTGAACTATGCCCGGCGAGGCAACTAGGCCTCAAGACCACGAGGTCGTTCTTGCCTAGATTCCCTACCGGGAAAGGTGAACTATGCCCGGCGAGGCAACTAGGCCTCAAGACACCGAGACCGTTCTTGCCTAGATTCGCTACCGGGAAAGGTGAACTATGCCCGGCGAGACAACTAGGCCTCAAGACCCCGAGGCCCTTCTCGCCTAGATTCGCTACCGGGAAAGGTGAACTATGCCCGGCGAGGCAACTAGGCCTCAAGACCACGAGGTCGTTCTTGCCTAGATTCCCTACCGGGAAAGGTGAACTATGCCCGGCGAGGCAACTAGGCCTCAAGACACCGAGACCGTTCTTGCCTAGATTCGCTACCGGGAAAGGTGAACTATGCCCGGCGAGGCAACTAGGCCTCAAGACCCCGAGGCCCTTCTCGCCTAGATTCGCTACCGGGAAAGGTGAACTATGCCCGGCGAGGCGACTAGGCCTCAAGACCCCGAGGTCGTTCTCGCCTAGATTCGCTACCGGGAAAGGTGAACTATGCCCGGCGAGGCGACTAGGCCTCAAGACCCCGAGACCGTTCTCGCCTAGATTCCCTACCGGGAAAGGTGAACTGTGCCCGGCGAGGCAACTAGGCCTCAAGACCCCGAGACCGTTCTCGCCTAGATTCGCTACCGGGAAAGGTGAACTATGCCCGGCGAGGCAACTAGGCCTCAAGACCACGAGATCGTTCTTGCCTAGACCCCGAGGTCCTTCTCGCCTAGATTCCCTACCGGGAAAGGTAAACTATGCCCGGCGAGGCGACTAGGCCTCAAGACCCCGAGGCCCTTCTCGCCTAGATTCGCTACCGGGAAAGCTGAACTATGCCCGGCGGGGCAACTAGGCCTCAAGACCCCTCCTCGAGAAAAACGCGTTACAGCGACCCACGCAACCCCGGGAGGGAAGTAGTTAGAGAAGGGAGACACCGGGACCAGGACTCGAACCTCGATTTCCTTCTTCACGGCCTCGAACTCCTCCAGATCCTCCAGCTTCAACTCCAGCCGCGTCGGTCGCCTGCGGATCATCGCTGATCGGTTACCGCGTTCACTTTGATTTGCGAAATGCGATTCGATTCCTGAGCGCTTGATCGCGTTTGTCGATTTCCCATTGGCTTAACACACAGACGATTCTTATTGACTCACACTCAAACGATTCCCCAATTGGTTTAACACACAAACGATTCCTATTGACTCAACACTCAACGATTCCTTTTGCATGAAAGATAATTCCCATTGGCTGAACACGCACAAACGATTCTTATTAACCTAACGCGCAAACGATTCCAGGTTAGCGCTTAACACGCAAACGATTCCATCATTGACTCAACACGCAAACGATACCCCTAACAACTTGAGAATCGATTCGGAAGGTACGTAGTGAGTGAATGGGAATCGAATGACATAAATAAAAATTCACACGAATCGATTCCTGGGGGGGGGGGGGGCGGGGCTAGGCGGCACACGTGGGTTTCTGCCAACAGGTACAGTAGTGCTACAGTGCGAAACACGCGTGGCTTGTATGTAGCGAAGTTTTGCAGTAAAACTAAACAAATTAAACATTTTAGAGTCTCAAGACACGCGGTAAAACATCTCACAAGTAGGCTTTCGCGACCAAGATTCGTAATAAATGATTTGGGGGGAAGGGGGGCGATCGTGATTAGCTGACACAGACGTACGCGATCTAACCTTTAACAACAAAACGTTGAGCGGTGTTTTGAAAAGAAAGAAATAAACGCATCACGATCATCGGCAACTGTGAACCTCCCCCTCCCCCAATCGTCGTAACGCTGCCACGGTGTTTGAATGATAAATTGGTCCAAAAGTAGCCGGTTTCTTAAATCTCGCTCCCTTCCCACCTCCCTGAGCCTCCTGTCATCATCACAGTGGCTAGGAGATGTTGACTACCTCGCCTGGTGTGCAGGAGGTCGTGGGATCGATCCTGACGCCTGCTGCTGTATAGTTGGAGTTTGTGTCTCTCATCATCATCACGGTGGCTAGGAGATGTTAACTACCTCGCCTGGTGTACAGGAGGTCGTCGGTTTGATCCCGATCTAGACGCCTGCTGCTGTGTATTTGGAGTTTGCGTCTCTCATCATCATCACGGTGGCTAGGAGATGTTAACTACCTCGCCTGGTGTACAGGAGGTCGTGGGTTTGATCCCGACCCTGACACCTGCTGCTGTATATTTGGAGTTTGTGTGTCTCTCATCATCATCACGGTGGCTAGGAGATGTTAACTACCTCGCCTGGTATGCAGGAGGTCGTGGGTTCCATCGTGACCCTGACGCCTGCTGCTGTATATTTGGAGTCTGCTTCTCTCTCTTCCCGTGATCGCGTGGATTTTTCTCCGGGTCTTCCGGTTTTTCTCCCTCCACATTTCTAATCAACGTCACGCGTTCAGAGAGAGTTTCACAGCTGCTATAAATGTCCACGATGACGAACTATCATTTGGTGTGCCAAGGTATCTACAGGGCCTGACCTAGTAATATAAAATAATAAAATGATCGTGGCTTGGGATTATCCTAGCAGCAAAAGTAGCTACATATGTAGCTACGTGCCCCGCACTTTCAAGGGCCCCGCGTTAAATGCTTTCAAGCTATCAATTCCGGATCAGTGATTCTTGCACTTGCTCTATTGCTATAGTACTATACCGCCTTCAACTTTTATGAACGACTGGGTGTTTAAGGTTATTGATTTGTCGTGTTTTCTGGCTGCATAGCAAATGAAAAAATACAATTTTTTTACTGTGCAAGTTTTAAAAGTTACGTGTTTTAATATTTGTGTTTTTTTTTTATTAAATCCTTTATATTAAGTTCGCTTGCTTGCTTGCTTGCGTGCTTGCTTGCTTGCTTACGACCGTGCAAATCTTTCGGTCGTTTCTTAACCCACTTCCCGTGATCCAATCGAGCTGACATTTTGCACACAGACTTGTTGTGCGAGACAATTAATGTTCGTGAAAAAACATTTCCAAAATTTTACACTTTTTAGGAACAAAAAATTATATGTAATTACCAATTGCTTAATGGTGCCAAGCAATCATCTGACCCATAGGTGGCAGCCATCTCAAGCCAGAGGATGAGAGGACTCGAGCCGCCACGCATATAAAGGATTTAGAGTGAAAAACTTTGTTTTTACGGGTTATACTTATTATTATTAGGGTCTCTTTATAACATATGCTACAGGCCCCACACTAATTTAATCCTGGACTGGGCTTGGGTTGATCGTGGCCGATGCTTACGCCGCTCAGCGGTCGGAATATCGCGAATTCAAATCCTCGGGGGTGGGCAGGAGGATGGTTGACCCAGCCCCATCATCCATCCCATTGAAAAAAAATTAACCCGTAAAAACAAAGTTTTTCACTATAAATCCTTTATATGCGTGGCGGCTAGAGTCCTCTCGTCCTCTGGCTTGAGATGGCTGCCACCTATGGGTCAGATGATTGCCTGCCACCATTAAGCAATTGGTAATTACATATAATTTTTTGTTTCCTAAAAAGTGTAAAATTTTGGAAAAAAAATTTCACGAAAATAAATTGTCACGCACAACGAGTCTGTGTGAAAAATGTCAGCTCGATTGGATCACGGGAAGTGGGTTAAAAAATGACCGAAAGATTTGCACGGTCGTAAGCAAGCAAGCACGCAAGCAAGTGAACTTAATATAAATGATTTAAAAATCATCACCCCTGTATTTTGGAAAGTCCAGCGTGGTTTCATGGGTTGGCCTGTCTCTACTAAAGGGACGTGGACATTTTTACCAAATGGCTCGGAACAGGAGATGAACACCGATGCATAATTCTAGATTTGAAGCTTTCGTGACTGCAAGGATTCATATTCTTAGGTTTTTTCGGTAAAGTCACGTAGGTAAAAAATTAAAATTAATAAAAATAAAATAAAAATCACGACGTTTCGGAGGCAACACAAGCTTCCACCTGAAGACGGAAGCTTGTGTTGCCTCCGAAACGTCATGATTTTATTTTTATTTAACTTTTATTAATTTTAATTTTTTACCTACGTGACTTTACCGAAAGAACCTAAGAATACCGATGCATGAATGCTCTTTTTAAAAATCCTTTATATTAAGTTCCCTTGCTTGCTTGCTTGCGTACTTGCTTGCTTGCTTGCGTGCTTGCTTGCTTGCTTACGACCGTGCAAATCTTTCGGTCGGTTTTTTAACCCACTTCCCGTGATCCAATCGAGCTGACATTTTGCACACAGACTCGTTGTGCGTGACAATTAATGTTCGTGAAAACATTTTTTCCAAAATTTTACACTGTTTAGGGAAAAAAATTAAAATATTAAATTACCAATTGCTTAATGCTGGCAGACAATCATCTGACCCATAGGTGGCAGCCATCTCAAGCCAGAGGACGAGAGGACTCTAGCCGCCACGCATATTAAGGATTTAGAGTGAAAAACTTTGTTTTTACGGGTTATACTTGTTGTTAGCTGCATACCACTTTGTTATGATGGTGAACAGCACTTTCCCTGGCAGGGCTGTTAAAAAAAAGGTGTCAGTTTTGTTGCCAGATAGAAGGGTAAAAAACCAATTATCATATTTTTACTGGCAAATGAGGTTCCCATAGTGTAAATGCTTACCCCGAGCTCTCATACTCTGATGGTGCATTGTCTTTGAGTTGTGCGCCTTTTGGCGTCATCTGGTCCAACACCATGTGAGACTAGGCTCTAAGGAAAGCTGTCTCGGGTGTGGACCAATCAACTTCAAGGACAGTGCACATTATCAGAGTTATGTCTTTTGTTTGTATTACGACTGCAGGTATTGCGGTCTATGCAAACATGACTCCTTGTAAAAAGGTGTCACTTTTGTTGCCAGATAGAAGGGTAAAAAAAACAATTATCAGGTCTGTTAAAGTTCACACGGTGGTCGGGGATCTTTGTGTGTGTGTCGTGTGTGTGTGTGTCTCTGTGTGTGTGTGTCTCTGTGTGTGTGTGTCTCTGTGTCTGTGTGTGTGTCTCTGTGTGTGTGTCTGTGCGTGTGTGTGTGTCTCTGTGTGTGTGTGTGTCTCGTGTGTGTGTGTCTCTGTGTGTGTGTGTGTCTCTGTGTGTGTGTCTCGTGTGTGTGTCTCGTGTGTGTGTGTGTCTGTGTGTGTGTGTGTCTCGTGTGTGTGTGTCTCTGTGTGTGTGTGTCTCTGTGTGTGTGTGTGTCTCGTGTGTGTGTGTCTCTGTGTGTGTGTGTGTCTCTGTGTGTGTGTCTCTGTGTGTGTGTGTGTGTCTGTGTGTGTGTGTGTCTCTGTGTGTGTGTGTCTCTGTGTGTGTGTGTGTCTCTGTGTGTGTGTGTGTCTCTGTGTGTGTGTGTGAGTCTCTGGCTGTGTGTGTGTGTCTGTGTGTGTGTGTGTCTCTGTGTGTGTGTGTGTCTCTGTGTGTGTGTGTGTCTGTGTGTGTGTGTGTCTCTGTGTGTGTGTGTGTCTCTGTGTGTGTGTGTCTCGTGTGTGTTGTGTCTCTGTGTGTGTGTGTCTCTGTGTGTGTGTGTGTCTCTGTGTGTGTGTGTGTGGTCTCTGTGTGTGTGTTGTTGTGTCTCGTGTGTGTGTGTGTCTGTGTGGGTGTGTGTCTCGTGTGTGTGTGTGTGTGTCTCTGTGTGTGTGTGTCTCTGTGTGTGTGTCTCATGTGTGTGTGTGTGTCTCGTGTGTGTGTGTGTCTGTGTGTGTGTGTGTCTCGTGTGTGTGTGTGTGTCTCTGTGTGTGTGTGTCTCTGTGTGTGTGGTGTCTCGTGTGTGTGTGTCTGTGTGTGTGTGTCGTGTGTGTGTGTGTGTCTCTGTGTGTGTGTGTCTCTGTGTGTGTGTCTCATGTGTGTGTGTGTCTCGTGTGTGTGTGTTCTGTGTGTGTGTGTGTCTCGTGGTGTGTGTGTCTCGTGTGTGTGTGTGTCTCTGTGTGTGTGTCTCTGTGTGTGTGTGTCTGTGCGTGTGTGTGTGTCTCTGTGTGTGTGTGTCTGTGTGTGTGTCTCTGTGTGTGTGTGTGTCTCTGTGTGTGTGTGTCTCTGTGTGTGTGTGTGTCTCTGTGTGTGTGTCTCTGTGTGTGTGTGTCTCTGTGTGTGTGTGTCTCGTGTGTGTGTGTGTCTCTGTGTGTGTGTCTCTGTGTGTGTGTGTGTCTCTGTGTGTGTGTGTGTGTCTCTGTGTGTGTGTGTCTCTGTGTGTGTCTCATGTGTGTCTCGTGTGTGTGTGTGTCTGTGCGTGTGTGTGTCTCTGTGTGTGTGTGTGTGTCTGTGCGTGGTGTGAGTGTCTCTGTGTGTGTGTCTGTCTCGTGTGTGTGTCTCTGTGTGTGTGTGTGTGTCTCGTGTGTGTGTGTCTCTGTGTGTGTGTGAGTCTCTGTGTGTGTGTGTCTCTCTGTGTGTGTGTGTGTCTCTGTGTGTGTGTGTGTGTCTCTGTGTGTGTGTGTGAGTCTCGTGTGTGTGTGTGTGTGTCTCGTGTGTGTGTGTGTCTCTGTGTGTGTGTGTGTCTGTGCGTGTGTGTGTGTCTGTGTGTGTGGTGTCTGTGCGTGTGTGTGTGTCTCTGTGTCTGTGTGTGTCTCGGTGTGTGTGTGTGTCTCTGTGTGTGTGTGTGTGTCTCGTGTGTGTGAGTCTCTGGCTGTGTGTGTGAGTCTCTGTGTGTGTGTGTCTCTGGCTGTGTGTGTGTCTCTGTGTGTGTGTGTCTCTGTGTGTGTGTGAGTCTCTGTGTGTGTGTGTCTCTGTGTGTGTGTGTGTCTCTGGCTGTGTGTGTGAGTCTCTGTGTGTGTGTGAGTCTCTGTGTGTGTGTGTCTCTGTGTGTGTGTGTGTGTCTCGTGTGTGTGTGTGTCTCTGTGTGTGTGTGTGTGTCTCGTGTGTGTGTGTGTCTCTGTGTGTGTGTGTCTCGTGTGTGTGTGTGTCTGTGTGTGTCTGTGTGTGCGTGTGTGTGTCTCTGTGTGTGTGTGTGTCTCTGTGTGTGCGTGTGTGTGTCTCTGTGTGTGTGTGTCTCTGTGTGTGTGTGTGTCTCTCTGTGTGTGTCTCTCTGTGTGTGTGTGTCTGTGTGTGTGTGTGACTCTGTGTGTGTGTCTCTGTGTGTGTGTGTTAGGTGCAGGCAATGGCTTGCCGTCTCATCACCTGGGATGTAAAGGACACAATCTTGAGAGTCAGGTACGGGACTCACACGTCGCAACAAACATCGCAACGTAGGCGTGGGGTGTGGGTCTACGTACGGCCAAGTATTCTTGCTGACTGCACATTTATTTCATAAGTTTGCACCGTTTTCAATCCCTTCTGGAACGTGGTTGTTTTTATGCCGATTTGTATCGGGATGATTTTTATTTTTGGGTCGCTTCTAATTTGCTTCATTGCTGTTGTTTGTTGTTGTTGTGGTCTTCTTGGTTCTTTCGGTAAAGTCACGTAGAAGGGAAATAATAAAATAATAAAAATAAAACGTAATAAAATATAATTCTCACGACGTTTCGGCCACAACGCAAGCAGCCGTCCTCAGGTGAAGAACAGGGCTGTCGGGGAGACAGCGTCTGAAATGACGTCTTTCCGACAGACCTGTTCTTCACCTGAGGACGGCTGCTTGCGTTGTGGCCGAAACGTCGTGAGAATTGTATTTTATTGTTTTATTTTTATTATTTTATTATTTCCTTTCTACGTGACTTTATCGAAAGAACCAAGAAGATGAATCCCTGCAGTCGCGAAAGCTTTAAATGTTGTTGTTGTGTTTGCTTTTTGTAATTTTGGTGACTAAGAGCCATTCTTGCAAATGAGGTTTCATCCCGGCCTCTCGAGCTCCTACCTCGTCACGCAAAATCACCTCGAAATTTGATCCACTCACTCACTCCTCCCCCCGTGCCCACGTACCAGGTACTCGGTGGGGGAGCAGTACGCCCACGCCGCAAGGGAGTTGGGCGTGGGGGAGTTGGACCCCGAGTCCGTGGATCGCGTCTTCTCGCACACGCACGCGCGCTGGGCCCGTGCTCGCCCGGCCTACGGGGGCGGCCAGGGCCACGCGGCCGCATCGGCATCGACGGCAGCGGCGTCGGTGTCATCGTCGCAGAGATGGTGGCACGGCGTGGTGCGCGACACGTTTGCCGGGTGCGGCGTGCGCGATGATGCGATGCTGCACCGCCTCGCTCACCGCCTCTACCAAGACTTCTCCCACGAGAAGAACTGGGAGGTGAGGATGATGCATTGTTGTTGATGTTGTTAGCGTCTCGATTGAAAGCTTTTTCGTGACTGCAGGGATTGATCTTGGTTCTTTCGGTAAAGTCGCGTAGAAGGGAAATAATAAAATAATAAAAATAAAACAAAATAATTCTCACTGAGAATAAAAATGAAACGTAATAAAATGATTCTCACTGAGAATTATTGTATTATGTTTTATTTTTATTATTTTATTATTTCCCTTCTACGTGACTTTACCGAAAGAACCAAGAAGATAAATTTCGATTTAAAGTTTTCGTGACTGCAGGGATTCATCTTCTTGGTTCTTTCGGTAAAGTCACGTAGAATGGAAATAATAAAAGAATGAAATAAAACATTATAAAATAATTCACACGACGTTTCGGCCACAACGCAAGCAGCCGTCCTCAGGTGAAGACCAGGTCTGTCAGGGAGACAGCGTCATTCAGACGCTGTCTTTCCGACAGACCTGCTCTCCACCTGAGAATTATTTTATGATGTTTTATTTTTATTATTTTATTACTTCCACTCCACGTGACTTTACCGAAAGAACCAAGAAGATGAATCCCTGCAGTCACGAAAGCTTTAAATCGAAATCTGTGATAAGTTTATGAAAAATATACTTTGTGGTTCATCTTCTTGGTTCTTTCGTTAAAGTCACGCAGAACGGAACTATTTTATTATGTTTTATTTATTTTATTATTTCCCTTCTACGTGACTTTACCGAAAGAACCAAGAAGAAGCTTCTGCAAAGCTCAGCGAGGCCTTACCCGGTCGGTAAAACCGTAACAAATCTTTCTCGACTCCGCCCCTGACACCTGTCCCCCCAGGTGTTCCCGGACGCTCTGCGAACCCTTCGCCACTTCCACGCCCTCGGCATGCCCATGGGGGTCATCTCCAACTTCGACGGACGCCTCGACGCCCTCCTCCGCAGCTGCCGACTCCGACACTTCTTCCTCTTCGTGCTCACCGCCGACTCGCTCGCCGCCAAGCCCGACCCGCGCGCCTTCCGCGCAGCCCTGGCCGCCGGGGGAGCCGAGGAGCCGCACCTCGCCACCCACGTCGGGGACGACTTGGCCAACGACTACGCGGCTGCGCGCGCCGTGGGCATGAGGGCCAGGCTGCTGCTGAGGGGCGGAGCGCCGAGGCCCGCCGGGGCCGACCCGGCGCACGTCTTGCGCTCGCTCGACGAGCTGTGCGAGCGAGGGCCGGACGACTAGCAAGGCCGGGCCGCCCCCCCGCCGCCACCGGCCAGCCAAGTTGCTGGCGGTGTTGTTGTTCATCGCTAGGCCCCGTGGGCCACTGGTGGCCCATCTGGTGGCCTTTGCAGGTGGTGTGTGTGTGTGTGTCCCCCATCCCCCAACTCTTGAGTGACGAACACTGCTGTGTCGGCCATGCGGCGCGGCGGTGACGCAGTTGTTACCTCGATGTCACGGGCCAACGATCCCTTCACGTGGCGTGAAGAGGGGCCGTTTCCGAAAGTCTCACCGATTATATTTATATATTTTTGTTGTCTATTTAAAGCCACAGTGTTGCTGACGATGAATGCGCCGTGTGTTTTGGATTGCGAGCGATCGGGATTTGCGTGGGGTGGTTCTGCATCGGACCACCCAGGGTGTATTTAATTAGGGGAGTGCGGGGGTAGGGGGCGTTAGATCTCCAAGCGTGTTTTGAGTTGCACCAGAGCGAGATCTTGAGAGAGACGCCACCCCCAGGATGGGAGTCTCATTCGCGAGGGTGACATGGGTCACAGAAAACTACGAAACAAAAGCAACGGCAAAGATGCAACAAATATAAAATCGGAGCAAATCGGGAAAGGATGGTGCTTCTCTGTACTGAATGCGACAGTGGTTTTGCATCGGATGTCTTCTCCGTAAATACAGTGATACCCACAGACTCAACACTGCCCATAGACTCAACACTACCCATAGACTCAACACTACCCATAGACTCAACACTACCCATAGACTCAACACTGCCCATAGACTCAACACTGCCCATAGACTCAACACTGCCCATAGACTCAACACTGCCCATAGACTCAACACTGCCCATAGACTCAACACTGCCCATAGACTCAACACTGCCCATAGACTCAACACTGCCCATAGACTCAACACTGCCCATAGACTCACACTGCCCATAGACTCAACACTGCCCATAGACTCAACACTGCCCATAGACTCAACACTGCCCAGACTCAACACTGCCCATAGACTCAACACTGCCCATAGACTCAACACTGCCCAGACTCAACACTGCCCATAGACTCAACACTACCCATAGACTCAACACTGCCCATAGACTCAACACTGCCCAGACTCAACACTGCCCATAGACTCAACACTGCCCATAGACTCACACTGCCCATAGACTCAACACTGCCCATAGACTCAACACTACCCATAGACTCAACTACCCATAGACTCAACACTGCCCATAGACTCAACACTACCCATAGACTCAACACTACCCATAGACTCAACACTGCCCATAGACTCACACTGCCCATAGACTCAACACTACCCATAGACTCAACACTGCCCATAGACTCAACACTGCCCATAGACTCAACACTACCCATAGACTCAACACTGCCCATAGACTCAACACTGCCCATAGACTCAACACTACCCATAGACTCAACACTACCCATAGACTCAACACTGCCCATAGACTCAACACTGCCCATAGACTCAACACTACCCATAGACTCAACACTGCCCATAGACTCAACACTGCCCATAGACTCAACACTGCCCATAGACTCAACACTGCCCATAGACTCAACACTACCCATAGACTCAACACTGCCCATAGACTCAACACTGCCCATAGACTCAACACTACCCATACTCAACACTGCCCATAGACTCAACACTGCCCATAGACTCAACACTGCCCATAGACTCAACACTACCCATAGACTCAACACTGCCCATAGACTCAACACTGCCCATAGACTCAACACTGCCCATAGACTCAACACTACCCATAGACTCACACTACCCATAGACTCAACACTACCCATAGACTCAACACTACCCATAGACTCAACACTGCCCATAGACTCAACACTACCCATAGACTCAACACTACCCATAGACTCAACACTGCCCATAGACTCAACACTACCCACAGACTCAACACTGCCCATAGACTCACACTGCCCATAGACTCAACACTGCCCACTACTCAACACTACCCATAGACTCAACACTACCCATAGACTCAACACTACCCATAGACTCAACACTACCCATAGACTCAACACTGCCCATAGACTCAACACTACCCATAGACTCAACACTACCCATAGACTCAACACTGCCCATAGACTCAACACTGCCCATAGACTCAACACTACCCATAGACTCAACACTCCCATAGACTCAACACTGCCCATAGACTCAACACTGCCCATAGACTCAACACTACCCATAGACTCAACACTACCCATAGACTCAACACTGCCCATAGACTCAACACTACCCGACTCAACACTACCCATAGACTCAACACTACCCATAGACTCAACACTGCCCATAGACTCAACACTGCCCATACTCAACACTGCCCATAGACTCAACACTGCCCATAGACTCAACACTACCCATAGACTCAACACTGCCCATAGACTCAACACTGCCATAGACTCAACACTGCCCATAGACTCAACACTGCCCATAGACTCAACACTGCCCAGACTCAACACTGCCCATAGACTCAACACTGCCCATAGACTCAACACTGCCCATAGACTCAACACTGCCCATAGACTCAACACTGCCCATAGACTCAACACTGCCCATAGACTCAACACTGCCCATAGACTCAACACTGCCCATAGACTCAACACTGCCCATAGACTCAACACTGCCCATAGACTCAACACTGCCCAGACTCAACACTACCCACAGACTCAACACTACCCACAGACTCAACACTGCCCACAGACTCACCACCGCACCTCCGATTATCACGGTTGGCTGTGTACGGTGCGAAAGACGATCACCGTACAGTACACACACACACACACCTGTGGTTCCTCCACGTTTGTGAAACGCGTTTTGTATGAACGAGGCTGCTCCATCGAACTCGACATCATCACGGCTGTAGTGACTTTTAATTAATTGTCAATATAACATACAAAAATGTTTCCTCTGCACGTATATTCCACCGATTAGACCCCCAGGAATGCTTTATACATTCTAGATTTGAAGCTTTCGTGACTGCAAAGATTCATATTCTTAGGTTTTTTCGGTAAAGTCACGTAGGTAAAATTTTTTGTTATGCAGTCTATTCTTAGTCTTAAGCCTCACCTTACCATATTAATAAAAAGTGTGCCGTTCCTGGCCCTTCCCCCCTCAACCATTATATAAACGGAGTGGTAGCTCTTGTACTCTCTCATTTACTTGATACAGCTGTCGTGGCTGTGACGGTTCCACCTGAAGACGGAGACTTGTGTTGCTTCCGAAACGTCGTGATTTTTAATTTTGTTTTATTTTACTTTTATTAATTTAATTTTTTTACCTACGTGACTTTACCGAAAAAACCTAAGAATATGCTTTATAAATGATGGCACAAGCGACCTCAAAACTCCACTTCCCCTCCCTGCATCCTTCGCAGTGCGTAGAACTTCTTTCGCGCCCTACGTAGCCAACCGTGCTAATCGCAGGCCCGCGTTTAAAAATCCAGATTGAAAACTCGCGTCTGTGAAACCGCTTTGTGCGTTTGGTTTGTTGTCCTTCCCCTGCACGGTTGGTCACGTACGGTGCGAAAGAAGTTCGACACACACACGTTACACAGACGCTGGATGCACCGCAAGCTCTAAGCTGGGTCCCCCCTTGGGGTAAGCGAGAGACTCCGATCTTGAGGCGACGTCACGGCCACGTCACGGCGACGTCACGGCGTAGTCACGGTGACGTCATGGCCTGTCAGGGCAACGTCACGGCGTTGTCATGGCGACGTCATGGCATCAGGGCGACGTCGGGGCGTGTCACGGCGACGTCACGGTCTGTCAGGGTGTCGTCACGGCGACATCGTCACGGCGACGTCACGGCGATGTCACGGCGACGCTCGCCTTGCGTGAAGGATTTCGCGCCGTGCAGAATGGCCGCCGGCTTGCATACCCAGGAGAATCCTCTCGCCCCGGCTCGCTGCCGTGCACTTTCCTCGGCAAGGAGCGTAAACCGTCGTCACGCGACACTCCGCGTCATCCTCGCCGCCGCAGCAGCGGCAGCAGCAGCGGCGGCGGCGGCGGCAGCAGCAGCAGCAGAAGCAGCAGCAGAAGCAGCAGCAGAAGCAGCAGCAGAAGCAGCAGCAGAAGCAGCAGCAGAAACAGCAGCAGCAGCAGTAGTAGCAGCAGCAGCAGAAGCAGCAGCAGAAGCAGCAGCAGCAGCAGAAGCAGCAGCAGCAGAAGCAGCGGCAGAAGCAGCAGCGGCAGAAGCAGCGGCAGAAGCAGCAGCAGCAGCAGAAGCAGCAGCAGCAGAAGCTGCAACAACAGCAGCAGCAGAAGCAGCAGCAGCAGAAGCAGCGGCAGAAGCAGCGGCAGCAGCAGCAGAAGCAGCAGCAGCAGCAGAAGCAGCGGCAGAAGCAGCAGCAGCAGCAGCAGCAAAAGCAGCGGCAGCAGCAGCAGAAGCAGCGGCAGAAGCAGCAGCAGCGGCAGCGGCAGCAGCAGCGGCAGAAGCAGCAGCAGCAGCAGCAGAAGCAGCGGCAGAAGCAGTAGCAGCAGCAGAAACAGCAGCAGCAGCAGCAGAAACAGCAGCAGCAGCGGCAGAAGCAGCGGCAGAAGCAGCGGCAGCAGCAGCAGAAGCAGCAGCAGCAGAAACAGCAGCAGCAGCAGCAGAAACAGCAGCAGCAGCAGCAGAAGCAGCGGCAGAAGCAGCGGCAGAAGCAGCAGCAGCAGAAACAGCAGCAGCAGCAGAAACAGCAGCAGCAGCAGCGGCAGAAGCAGCGGCAGAAGCAGCGGCAGCAGCAGCAGAAGCAGCAGCAGCAACAGCAGCAGAAACAGCAGCAGCAGAAGCAGCAGCAGCAGCAGAAGCAGCAGCAGCAGCAGAAGCAGCAGCGGCAGAAGCAGCAGCAGCAGACGCAGCAGCAGCAGCAGAAGCAGCAGCAGCAACAGCAGCAGCAGCGGCAGAAGCAGCAGCAGCAGCAGCAGACGCAGCAGCAACAGAAGCAGCGGCAGAAGCAGCAGCAGCAGCAGCAGCAGCAGAAGCAGCAGCAACAGCAGCAGCAGCGGCAGAAGCAGCAGCAGCAGAAGCAGCAGCAACAGCAGCAGCAGCGGCAGAAGCAGCAGCAGCAGAAGCAGCAGCAGCAACAGCAGCAGCAGCAACAGCAGCAGCAGCAACAGCAGCAGCAGCGGCAGAAGCGGCAGCGGCAGAAGCAGCAGCAGCAGCAGACGCAGCAGCAGCAGCGGCGGCGGCTTTTGGCAGTCACTGCATCTAGATTTGAAGCTTTCGTGACTGCAAGGATTCATATTGTTAGGTTTTTTCGGTAAAGTCACGTAGGTAAAAAATTAAAATTAATAAAAGTAAAATAAAAACGTCGTGATTTTTATTTATTTATTTACTTTTATTAATTACATTTTTCTACCTACGTGACTTTACCGAAAAAACCTAAGAATATATAGCCACCGCATCGTCGCGCCGGCGCTTTCAGATGTGCTTCCGCGGCCGTCTGGAACGTTCCTCCCCTCCGATAATAGAAAGCCACCGGAGCTATGCACTAGCCAATCGAGATTGAAAACGAATTTCTTTAAAACCGATTTTTGTGTTAAGTTCGTTGTCCTTCCCCCCCCCCCCTCCGCACCTCCCGTTGGCTACGTACGGTGCGAAAGATGTTCAACAAACATTCGAGAACCTGGTTTGATCACAGCTAGCTGAGTAGCAGAGATCGCAAACGGGTTTTGATTCCTTACCCGTACCCGGCCGCACCAGGGTCGCAAATGGGTACCCGTACCCGGTCGGGAATGGGTACCCGGCCGGGTACGGGTACCCATTCCCTACCCGTACCCTACCCGAAATGAGTGACAAACAGTGACTCACCAGTGACTCACGGCCTACCCGTACCCGTAACCTACCCGAAATGAGTGACAAACGGTGACTCACCAGTGACTCACGGCCTACCCGTACACGTACCCGGCCGCACCAGGGTCGCAAACGGCTACCCGTACCCGGCCGGGTACGGGTAGCCGGGTATCGGGTAGGGTACGGGTATCGGGTACCCGGTTGCGACCTCTGCTGGGTAGGTAGATTCCAACCCAGTGGTCCCAGCTCTGATGGCTCAATGCGTCTCTTAACATGGCCACCATGGACCCTCGGAGACACCCAGACTCAGGGCTTGATGCCAGGGTCTCAGTAGAGCTGGGAGAACGTCGCTGACACGGCCAGTACGAACCTAAGATGCCACTCCAAGTCACCTCGTGTATCCGTGAGACGAGATTACGCCGCAAACCCCCTTCCCTTTACAATCAAGAGTGAATAGAAATGTGCGGAGGCATACGATTGAAAAATCTGTGCAAGTGTCTCTCTCGTTCAAGAATTCCTCGCTTCGTTTTCTCAAGATGTGAAATCCAGGGTGGGGGGGTGGGTGGGGGGTTGAAGCTTTTCTGCGTTTGGCAGCCCGTCGCCTTGTCACGCGCGAGGCCGGAGGCTGCCGCGGATTTCTGAGGTCAGGGGTCGCCGAGGATGACGGGGGAGCGGAAGGTGCGTCCCTTCACGTGCGACTCCAGACCCTGCGCAAAAACAAAAACACCCAATCACACCATTGGAACCTCATTTGCCAGTAAAAATATGGTAATTGTTTTTTTACCCTTCTATCTGGCAACAAAACTGACACCTTTTTTTACAAGGAGTCATGTTTGCATAGACCACAATACCTGCAGTTGTAATGCAAACAAAAAACATAACTCTGATAACACATCTGGTCCAACCCATGTGAGACTAGGCTCTAAGGAAAGCTGTCTCGGGTGTGGACCAATCAACTTCAAGGACAGTGCATACATTATCAGAGTTATGTTTTTTGTTTGCATTATGACTGCAGGTATTGTGGTCTATGCAAACATGACTCCTTATAAAAAGGTGTCAGTTTTGTTGCCAGATAGAAGGGTAAAAAACAATTACCACCCAATCACGTTCATCGCTCACTCGCTCACTCGCCGACTGCATCAATGCGTGTACGCGTGTGCGAGTACGTCTTTGTTCTAGATTTGAAGCTTTCGTGACTGCAAGGATTCATACTCTTAGGTTTTTTCGGTAAAGTCACGTAGGTAAAAATAATAATAATAAACTTTTATTATTTCTTTTTTATTATTTATTTTACCGAAAAAGCCTAAGAGTACGTCTTTGTTGCATGGGCAGTGGTAGTGTGGCGGTTAGCATAGCCCCCTCGCCACGAAGCCGAGTTGGATTCCCGCTCGTGGCCAACACCGGTGACGATTATCTGAACCGGTCCTGGACCTCCCTTAGGTCGACTCGGCCTCAAATGAGTAACCTGGTGCGGTGTGTAAACATCGCCGCTATGGAGAGAAAGGCGGCCGGGCGTGGTGCTGGCCACCCACCCCCTCGTGTGCCGTGCCGGCCTTCACAGGTTACTACTCGCTAGCAGCACTTGCCCCAACAGTCTGTTGAGGCTACACGGGGGGTCTTTGTATGTGTGTGTGTGTGTGCGAGCGTCACCTCTCCGCTGTAGGAGATGAGTGGGGAGATCTCACAGATGGTGGGCGTCTCACTCTCCTCCGCGGGGCTGTGTGGCACACACGCAACGGCCACATCACATCAACCACAACAACCACATCACATCAACCACAACAACCACATCCACCACAACAACCACATCAACCACACAACAACCACAACAACCATACCACAACAACCACACAACAACCACATCAACAACAACCACACCACACTAACCACAACAACCTCCCATCAACCACATCAACCTCCCATCCACCACACATCAACCATACCACAACAACCGCACAACAACCACATACACCTCATCAACCACACATCGACCGTACAACAACCACATCGCATCAAGCACACACAACAGCCACACACACATCCATACAACCTCACAACAACCACACCGCCACGCAGGGAGACACAGTCACACCACACAGAAACCACAGTGGGGGGGGGTGGCGTGGGGTGGGGGGTGGGGCCATGCCACGTGGGCAGAGGCGGGGGGTGGGTGGCAGTGCCCCCCCCCCCCCCCCTCGTAGTGACGAGGTCCCTGGAGATGATTGAAGATGAAGATGGTCCCCCCGCAAGTCGCCCACCTGGGAGCGTCGTTCCCTTGCTCGTCCACGATCCTTCCACCCGCCCCCTGGATCCACCTGCAACCACGCGGCAACACGGCAGAGACATCGTCAGCTACTCCGGCTGCCACGCCAGCGAGCCGTCACCCTCCTGTGACTACACGTGGCTAGGTACACGTGGCCAGGTACACGTGACCAGGTAGTACAAAGCCAGGCCAGTGTGCCGTGACCCTCCTGTGACTACAGGTACACAGAGCCAGGTATACACACTGCCAGGTATACACAGTCACACCAGCGAGCCGTGACCCTCCTGTGACTACAGGTGGCCAGGTACACGTGGCCAGGTACACGTGGCCAGGTACACGTGGCCAGGTACATGTGGCCAGGTAGTACAAAGCCAGGCCAGTGTGGCGTGACCCTCCTGTAACTACAGGTACACGGTGCAAGCGGTGTGTGAACACAGCACGAGCGCTGTGGTGAACACGGCGTGAGCGCTGTAGTGAACGGGGTGTAACCGCTGTAGTGAGCGCAGTGTGAGTGCTGTAGTGAACGGGGTGTAACCGCTGTAGTGAACACGGCGTAAGCGCTGTAGTGAACGGGGTGTAACCGCTGTAGTGAGCGCGGTGTGAGCGATGTAGTGAACACGGCATGAGCACAGCGTAAGCGCTGTGGTGAACACGGTGTGAGCGCTGTAGTGAACACGGCATGAGCACAGCGTGAGCGCTGTAGTGAACACGGCGTGAGCGCTGTAGTGAACGGGGTGTAACCGCTGTAGTGAGCGCGGTGTGAGCGCTGTAGTGAACACGGTGTGAGCGCTGTAGTGAACACGGCATGAGCGCTGTGGTGAACACGGCGTGAGCGCTGTGGTGAACATGGCGTGAGCGCTGTAGTGAACACGGCATGAGCACAGCGTGAGCGCTGTAGTGAACACGGTGTGAGCGCTGTAGTGAACACGGCGTGAGCGCTGTGGTGAACACGGCGTGAGCGCTGTGGTGAACACGGCGTGAGCGCTGTAGTGAACGGGGTGTAACCGCTGTAGTGAGCGCGGTGTGAGCGCTGTAGTGAGCGCGGTGTGAGCGCTGTGGTGAACACGGCGTGAGCACAGCGTGAGCGCTGCCGCTCCGCACCGGTAGTGCAGAGCCATCTGGTGGCGCCGCGAGGAGCTGGGGCAGTCGACGCCGGCGGAGTCCGAGTTCTTGAGCGGAGAGAACTCGTCCTCGCGGCGAACCTCAAACTGCACGAACTTCCTACGGCGTAAACAACAACACCAGCGTAAACAACATCAGCGTAAACATCGGCGTAAACAACACCACCAGGGTAAACAACAATTATCACCAGCGTAAACACCACCAGCGGCGTAAACAACAATTACCACCAGCGTAAACACCACCAGCGGCGTAAACAACAATTACCACCAGCGTAAACACCACCAGCGGCGTAAACAACAATTACCACCAGCGTAAACACCACCAGCGGCGTAAACAACAATTATCACCAGCGTAAACACCACCAGCGGCGTAAACAACAATTATCACCAGCGTAAACACCACCAGCGGCGTAAACAACAATTATCACCAGCGTAAACACCACCAGCGGCGTAAACAACAATTACCACCAGCGTAAACACCACCAGCGGCGTAAACAACAACATAGTTACAGTTTAACACGTGTAAGGCTTTCGCGACCAATATTATTCATAATAGATGTTTTTGGGTTAGATCGCGTTATTAATAAATGTGTCGCAACCCTCCACCACCCGACACGGCCAAACAGTAAAAATACGTCACATTTACAAAGGACATGACTGGCCGTGACCAGCTTTGACCGGTCGTGGCTGGCTGTGACTGGCTGTGACTGGTCGTGACTGGCTGTGACTGGTCGTGGCTGGCTGTGACTGGCTGTGACTGGCCGTGACTGGCTGTGACTGGCCGTGACCAGCTGTGACCGGTCGTGGCTGGCTGTGACTGGCCGTGACTGGCCGTGGCTGGCTGTGACTGGCTGTGACTGGTCGTGCCGTCTCGTACTTGGCGAAGGGGAAGACGTCGAACACGAACTTCTCCATCTTGATGCCGTTTGGTTTTGTGGGCTCCACCCGGTTCCCGCTCTCATCCACGTGCGCAATCTTCTTGTGAGCCACGTGGAACGGCAGCTGGGGCTCAAACTCCCTGCACGAAGGGGGGGGATACACGGGGAGAGTCACGGGGGGTGGGGGGCACAAGGGGGAGCCATGGGGGGTGGGGGACACAAGGGGGGGGGGGGCACGGGAGGCGGCACGGGGGGGGGGGGGGGAGACGCAGGGGGGGGGAAACACACGGGGGGGGAGACACGGACACACGCATGGAGAGACACGGAGAGACGCACACAGGGAGACATGGGGCGGGGGGGGGGGAGACACATGGACACACACACACACGGGAAGACACACGGAGAGACGCACACAGGGAGACACGGGGGGGGGAGGGGGTGACACACGGGGGGGAGACACACGGGGAGACACGGACACACACACACACGGGGAGACACACGGAGAGACGCACACAGGGAGACACGGGGGGGGAGGGGGAGACACGGGGGGGAGAGACACACGGGGGGGAGACACGGACACACACAGGGAGACACGGGGGGGGGGAAGGGGGAGACACACGGGGGGGAGACACACGGGGGGGGACACACGGACACACACACACACAGGGAGACACGGGGCGGGGGGGGACACAGCGCGAGTCACGGGGAGTCACAGACAGTGAAAAGAGTGAAACAAGCAGCCGTACGGGGAGAGCGATTTGACTGCTGCGGATTGTTGACTGCGGCAATCGGGGCCCATCAAAGACGGCCGTGGTCAAGTCGAAGACGGAGCGGCGTCTACAAGGGGCGACCGCGTGGAGGCGCCGAGAAAAGTCACACCTGACGACGAGCTTGAGGAAGTCGAGGGTGAAGTGGTGGACGCAGATGTTGCCCGCGCGGAGACGCAGCCTGCCCGAGTGGTCGCGCTCGCGGGCCTGCTCGTCGCCCAGCTCCGTGTACTCCACCACGCGGGCGCGGCCGTCCGCCAGGCACAGCACGCCCACCGCCTCGCCGGGGGACTGCTTCTCCACCACCTGCACCACGCCGCACCACATCACGCCGCACCACGCCGCACCACGCCGCACCACGCCGACAGGTCAAAGGTAAAGGATTCCCCCCCCCACCTCCACCGCCATCACCTCCCACGCGTGTCTCCTCGTGTTCCACGTGGTTCCGTTTGTCCGCGTGTCATCCCCCGCGTGTCTCCAGGTCAGAGGTCGCAACCGGGTACCCGATACCCGTACCCTACCCGATACCCGGGTACCCGTACCCGGCCGGGTACGGGTACCCGTTTGCGACCCTGGTGCAGCCGGGTACGGGTACGGGTAGACCGCGAGTCACTGGCGAGTAACCATTTGTCACTCATTTCCCAACGTCTTGTCTCTTCTCACAATTCAAGTTCCTAGAATCAACCCACCCGCGCCTGCAACATGGCTTCATCCCAGAGGTCGCAATCAGGTACCCGATACCCGTACCCTACCCGTACCCGGCCGGGTAGGGTACGGGTACGGGTACCCGTTTGCGACCCTGGTGCGGCCCGGTACGGATACGGGTAAGGAATCAAAACCCGTTTGCGACCTCTGCTCAAGGTCTCCCCTTTGACTCCCCCCCGCGTGTCTCCGTGCATCCCCCGTGTCTCCTTGTGTTCCGTGTGGTTCAATTTGTCCGTGTGTCACCCCCCTGCGTGTCTCTGCGTCTCCGTGTGTGTCCCCCGCGTGTCTAGAATGGGTGCCGCAGTGGCGAAATGTTGTCTCCCTCGCCTGATATGCAAGAGGTCGTGGGTTCGATCAGAAACCCTGACCCTGCTGTATGTTTGGAGTTTGCGTGTCTCTCTCCCCGTGGTCGCGAGGATTTTTCTCCGGTCCTCGGTTTTTCCCTCCACATTTAGAATCAGCGTCGCGCGTTCAGAGTATTTGGCTGCTACTAGAAATTTGCACACGATGATGATGATGAGCTACTTCGTTGAGCTATCAATTGTGTTAGCCAGGTCGCTTCTGGAAAAAAGCTATGCAGGTCAGTGGAGCCTTAATCTGGTAAAATAAATACAAATATTTAAAAATATTTCGTAAACAATCTAATTGTTTAATTTAAATGAATAGTGAATTTTTTTTTATTGTCAAAAAAAATATTTTTATTAAAAAAATATTTAAAAAAACATTGGTAAAATTAAAAAAAGATAGTGGAATTTTTTTTATATTACATTTTTTTACTTAAAAAAAGTAAAAAAATATAGTTTCAAAAATGTACGAAATGTTGAAAAAAGTGCAAAATAATAAATGTGAATAAAAAAAAATATTTGTAAAAATGTGTTACAAAAATAATGCAAAAATATAAATGTAAATTATTATTTTTTTTATAAATATTTTTGAAAAAATGTTACAAACGTGTTACATTTTTTGTTTCGTAAAAAACATTGTTGAATAAAAAATTAAACAACAAAATAAGTGTAACAAAATCACGAGTTCTCCCCACCTTGGCCCCGCAGTCTGCCCCCTTGCGGACGCAGAATCCCAGGAAGAGAGGATCCCCCACGCGGGCCAGGACGTTGTCCACACAGTACGCGTGCACGTAGCGCACCCCGCGCGCCTCCATGTCGGCCAGCACGCCGCTGTCCCCCAGCGCGCGGTACAGACCTCCGTTACCGTCTACACGACGGCGACAAATATAGGATTTTGGGTCAGATTGCGTTATTTATAAATGTGTCGCAACCCTCCACCACCCGGCACGGCCAAACAGTAAAAAAATGTGTCACGTTGACAAAAGACAAATAGTTCACTTCTCTACCCTCATCTTCTTGGTTCTTTCGGTAAAGTCACGTAGAAGGGAAGTAATAAAATAATAAAAATAAAACATCATAAAATTATTCTAACGACGTTTCGGCCACAACGCAAGCAGCCGTCCTCAGGTGAAAACCAGGTCCGTCGAGGCGACAGAGTCTGAATGAAACAGCACACGAGCTTGGAGCATATATATAAGCTGGGCGCCTTGACAAAGGAATTTGCATATCAAGAGGAATTTAGCATATTTATGGGAAATGCAGGAATGTGATTAGTACTACATATGCGTGTGCATTATGCAGGATTAACAGCTTTAAATCGAAATTCTCTACCCTCCTTGCCTCAAATCACTGCACCAGAATTGAATTAAACAATGACGTCACCCTGCTGATGCTGCTGCTCTATTTAAGACCGGGACCAACAGGAGAGCTTCACCATTCTTGCCCGATGAAGCTGATTGTAATTACCAGCAAAACGTCGTGCTACTCACATTTCAAAATGCTGTTGATTCTCTCTTCAACACACCGGTGCGCTAAAGAAGTGAACTATTTTGTCCTTTGTAAACGTGACACTTTTTTTACTGTTTGGCCCTGTCGGGTGGTTGGAGGGTTACGACACATTTATAAATAACGCGATCCAACCCAAAAACCTTTATTATGAACATAGTTACACTAACGTGTTAACCTCCAACTGAACACAATTGCTCCAAAGACTACACGGCGGCGACGACAATTGCGCGCGTCAACCACACGGGGACAACAACAACAACAACACAAACAACTACATCCCCAGCCGGTCATGACCAGGCACTGCTGATAATACAGAGAGGGTGAATTTTGATTTAAAGCTTTCGTGACTGCAGGGATTCATATTCTGGCGTGGCGTCCCCGCATGTCCCCGTGTCACCCCGCGTGTCCCCCTTGTCCCCCCCGTGTCTCCCCGCGTGTCTCCCCGTGTCTCCCCGTGTCACCCCGCGTGTCCCCCGTGTCACCCCGCGTGTCTCCCCGTGTCTCCCCGTGTCACCCCCCATGTCACCCCCCTTGTCCCCCCCGTGTCACCCCGCGTGTCTCCCCGTGTCTCCCCGTGTCACCCCGCGTGTCCCCCGTGTCACCCCGTGTGTCCCCGTGTGTCCCCGTGTCACCCCGCGTGTCTCCCGTGTCACCCCCCGTGTCTCCCCCGTGTCTCCCCGTGTCTCCGCCGCGTCTCCCCGCGTTACCGGGAGCCCTGGCGAGGCGTCCCCGTGTCTCCAGGATGACCTTGCCGTCGGGGGTCAGGGCCGGGATCTGTCGCTGCTCAAAGAGGCGAACGTCGTCCTCGCACAGCCCCAGGAAGCCGTGCTCGCGCAGGAACGCCAGCGTGGGCTCCCGCGTGTGGCCCGACGTCATGATGTACCTGCCTCAGCAACAACAACAACAACACCACAAGTCAACAACAACAACAACGACGAACCACTGGCTCGTGCGGCGTGGCAGCGATCGTTTTCACGGCGCAGGGCGACCGTCGCCGCGTCTCTCTGCCACCGCTGGACATCTGTGAACGAGAGCTTCATGGCTCATCGGATTTCCTCGAGGATAAATTAGGATTCTGATTACAACTCTGAACCACCCTGACGCCCTTTAAAAGACGAAAGGGCCCTTGCCCGAAACGTCGCGGACGCCGGCATTCGTCAAGATTCCCCCACAACCAGCTCTCCTTTCCCACGGCCCCAACGCACCAGGGCAGCCCCCCCCCCCCACTAATCCCAACATACCAGGCCAAAGGCCCCCCCCCCCACTGCCCTCCCTATTAACCAACGTACCAGGGCAGCCCCCCCCCCACCTTCACCCTCCCCCCACTGCCCCCCCCCCCCACTATTCCCAACGTACCAGGGCAGCCCCCCGCCCCCCTACCTTCACCCCCCCACCACTGCCCCCGCTATTCCCAACGTACCAGGCCAGGGGCTGCCCCCCCATTCCCAACGTACCAGGAAAGTCCCCCCAACCCCGACTGCCCCCCCACTGTACCAGGGCAGCCCCTCCCCCACAGCCACTGCCCCCCCCCCACTATCCCCAACGTACCAGGGAAGCCCCCCCCTCCGATTGCCCCCCCCCCACTGTACCAGGGCTGCCCCTCCCCCTCACCCACTGCCCCCCCCCCCTCCGCTATTCCCAACGTACCAGGGCAGCCCCCCCCACTATCCCCAACGTACCAGGGCAGCCCCCCCCACTATCCCCAACGTACCAGGGCAGCCCCCCCCCCACTATCCCCAACGTACCAGGGCTGCCCCTTCCCCTCACCCACTGCCCCCCCCCCTCCACTATTCCCAACGTACCAGAGCCCCCCCCCTGCCCCCCGCTATCCCCAACGTACCAGGGCAGGGCCCCCCGCTGTTCCCCAACGTACCAGGGCAGGGCCCCCCGCTTGCCGTGCCTCTCCTCGGCGAGCCGCTGCAGTCGCAGGATGCGCTGGGCCTGCAGCTGCAGCAGGGGCTTGTGGGAGGGCAGCCCCACGTCGTAGAGGCCCTTGGGGTAGGGCACGCCCAGACGCGTCCCCTGACCCCCGGCCAGGAGCACGATGGCCACGCGACCCTCGGCAACCTGCAGCAGACCTGCAGAGATTCTAGATTTGAGGCTTTTGTGACTGCAAGGATTCATATTCGTAGGGTTTTTTTCCGGTAAAGTCACGTGGGTAAAAACATTAAAATTAATTAAAGTAAAATCAAATAAAAATCACGACGTTTCGGAGGCAACACAAGCTTCCGTCTTCAGGTGGAACCGTCGCAGCCACGACAGCTGTATCAAGAGGCGGTGGGACGGGGAGATGTTAGCTACCTCGCCTGGTGTGCGGGAGGTCTCAACTAGTTGCTATGATCACCGTTTCCTTGCTTTCGTGGCTTTATTTTGGTGGTTTAGAAAAGTGTATTGGTTTAGCAATGTTTGTTTGTTGTAGTACAGAGTTAGACTGATGGCCTTAATCTAAGTTGTCTTGTGGTTGTTGTTGTTGTTTGACTTGCATCCCACTGGGATTTTTGCACACAGCGTTGGTGTACGGTGTTTTTTCTGCAATATTTTGCTGTCTTTTCTTGGATTTTCTGTTTGCACTCAGTCACATATTCACTTTAAGATGTTTTTTTGTTAATGTTTTTTGTTTGGTTATGTTGCGGTTGCACCCGATTCAAGAGCTGAATGGCTCACAGGGCTATAACGAAAACATGAACTTGAACTAAACTATGTTTTATTGTATGTGAGTTGAACTTCCTTTGCGCCCTACGTAGTAAACCGTGCGATTAGCAGGCAAGGCCCCATAGGGCTGTGAAGTTTTTTTATGACCTGGCCACACGTATCATCATCACATGGATAGCAGCGGTCAAATGCTCGCAACGCGCGACACGTTTGATTCTAGATGTGGCAGTCCGTAATGTGCTGGTGAGAGTCTGCGATATCTGGGCACGGCCAAAAGGCGTGCAGGTTAACTCTGAAACCATGAACCTTGGCATTGTTCATGTGGTAGGTTCCGTGTATGAATTTATATTGAATACTTTGCAATGGAGGAGACCTGGGGCCTGCCGCCTGAACTCGCCATACCCGAAGTCCACTTGATTTATTTTGTAACAGGTAAGGCCCACGGAGCAAAGTTTTTCTAGAAGCGATCTGGCTATCAAATGATATCAGGTGGAAATGTATAGCAGACAAATGTTCTGAACGCATGGTTTATTATAAATGTGGAGGGGGGAAACCGGAAGAACCAGAGAAACAACGTAACCACGGAGAGAGACACGCAAACTCCAAATATACAGCAGCAGGCGTCAGGGTCGGGATAGAACCCACGACCTCCTGTACACCAGGTGAGGTAGTTAACATCTCCTAGCCACCGTGATGATGATGAGAGAGAGACACGCAAACTCCCAATATACAGCAGCAGGCGTCAGGGTCGGGATAGAACCCACGACCTCCTGCACACCAGGCGAGGTAGTTAACATCTCCTAGCCACCGTGATGATGATGATGAGAGAGACACGCAAACTCCAAATATACAGCAGCAGGCGTCAGGGTCGGGATAGAACCCACGACCTCCTGCACACCAGGCGAGGTAGTTAACATCTCCTAGCCACCGTGATGATGATGATGAGAGAGACACGCAAACTCCAAATATACAGCAGCAGGCGTCAGGGTCGGGATAGAACCCACGACCTCCTGCACACCAGGCGAGGTAGTCAACATCTCCTAGCCACCGTGATGATGATGAGAGAGACACACAAACTCCAAATATACAGCAGCAGGCGTCAGGGTCGGGATCGAACCCACGACCTCCTGCACACCAGGCGAGGTAGTTAACATCTCCTAGCCACCGTGATGATGAGAGAGAGACACGCAAACTCCAAATATACAGCAGCAGGCGTCAGGGTCGGGATCGAACCCACGACCTCCTGCACACCAGGTGAGGTAGTTAACATTTCCTAGCCACCGTGATGATGATGAGAGAGAGACACGCAAACTCCAAATATACAGCAGCAGGCGTCAGGGTCGGGATCGAACCCATGACCTCCTACACACCAGGCGAGGTAGTTAACATCTCCTAGCCATCATGATGATGAGAGAGAGACACGCAAACTCCAAATATACAGCAGCAGGCGTCAGGGTCGGGATCGAACCCACGACCTCCTGTACACCAGGCGAGGTAGTTAACATCTCCTAGCCATCATGATGATGAGAGAGACACGCAAACTCCAAATACACAGCAACAGGCGTCAGGGTCGGCATCGAACCCATGACCTCCGACACACCAGGCGAGGTAGTTAACATCTCCTAGCCATCATGATGATGAGAGAGAGACACAAACTCCAAATATACAGCAACAGGCGTCAGGGTCAGCATCGAACCCATGACCTCCTACACACCAGGCGAGGTAGTTAACATCTCCTAGCCATCATGATGATGAGAGAGAGACACGCAAACTCCAAATATACAGCAGCAGGCGTCAGAGTCGGGATAGAACTCACGACCTCCTGCACACCAGGCGAGGTAGTCAACATCTCCTAACCACCGTGATGATGGTGAGAGAGAGAGTCACGCAAACTCCAAATATACAGCAGCAGGCGTCAGGGTCGGGATCGAACCCACGACCTCCTGCACACCAGGCGAGGTAGTCAACATCTCCTAGCCACCGTGATGATGATGAGAGAGAAACGCAAACTCCAAATATACAGCAGCAGGCGTCAGAATCGGGATCGAACCCATGACCTCCTGCACACCAGGCGAGGTAGTTAACATCTCCTAGCCACCGTGATGATAATGATGATGAGAGAAAGACATGCAAACTCCAAATATACAGCAGCAGGCGTCAGGGTCGGGATCGAACCCACGACCTCCTGCACACCAGGCGAGGTAGTTAACATCTCCTAGCCACCGTGATGATGATGATGAGAGAGAGAGACACGCAAACTCCAAATATACAGCAGCAGGCGCCAGGGTCGGGATCGAACCCACGACCTCCTGCACACCAGGTGAGGTAGTTAACATTTCCTAGCCACCGTGATGATGATGAGAGAGAGACACGCAAACTCCAAATATACAGCAGCAGGCGTCAGGGTCGGGATCGAACCCATGACCTCCTACACACCAGGCGAGGTAGTTAACATCTCCTAGCCACCGTGATGATGAGAGAGAGACGCAAATTCCAAATACACAGCAACAGGCGTCAGGGTCAGCATCGAACCCATGACCTCCTACACACCAGGCGAGGTAGTTAACATCTCCTAGCCATCATGATGATGAGAGAGAGACACGCAAACTCCAAATATACAGCAGCAGGCGTCAGAGTCGGGATAGAACTCACGACCTCCTGCACACCAGGCGAGGTAGTCAACATCTCCTAACCACCGTGATGATGGTGAGAGAGAGAGTCACGCAAACTCCAAATATACAGCAGCAGGCGTCAGGGTCGGGATCGAACCCACGACCTCCTGCACACCAGGCGAGGTAGTCAACATCTCCTAGCCACCGTGATGATGATGAGAGAGAAACGCAAACTCCAAATATACAGCAGCAGGCGTCAGAATCGGGATCGAACCCATGACCTCCTGCACACCAGGCGAGGTAGTTAACATCTCCTAGCCACCGTGATGATAATGATGATGAGAGAAAGACATGCAAACTCCAAATATACAGCAGCAGGCGTCAGGGTCGGGATCGAACCCACGACCTCCTGCACACCAGGCGAGGTAGTTAACATCTCCTAGCCACCGTGATGATGATGATGTGAGGGAAAGACACGCAAACTCCAAATATACAGCAGCAGGCATCAAGGTCGGGATCGAACCCACGACCTCCTGCACACCAGGCGAGGTAGTTAACATCTCCTAGCCACCGTGATGATGATGATGAGAGAGAGAGACACGCAAACTCCAAATATACAGCAGCAGGCGTCAGGGTCGGGATCGAACCCACGACCTCCTGCACACCAGGCGAGGTAGTTAACATCTCCTAGCCACCGTGATGATGATGATGAGAGAGAGAGACACGCAAACTCCAAATATACAGCAGCAGGCGCCAGGGTCGGGATCGAACCCACGACCTCCTGCACACCAGGCGAGGTAGTTAACATCTCGCCACCACGGCACTAGCGCGTGGGCTCCATCCCGACAATGACACGTGGATTTTTCTCCGGTTTTTCCCTCCACATTTCAGAATGGACATCTTGCGTTTAGAGTATATGGCTGCTCTTGACTTAAAGCTTTTGTGACTTTCGATCGCAACACAAGCGTCATTAGGACGATTGCTTGTGTTGCGATCGAAGCGTCAAAGTTTTTGTTATTTTCTTTGAACCTATCGAGGTGACTTTACCGAAAGACCCAAGAATATTTGGCTTATAAATTACCAGGTCATGATGATAAGCCAATTCGTCGAGCTATCATTACGTGTGGCCAGATCGGTTCTTGAAGAAAAGAGCTACAGAACCCAGTGGGGCCTTACTTGGTAATAAGTAATATTTTTAAAAAAACTTTTTTCAAAACACGCTTTTATGAAATACTAGCAACGGCAGAACTCCACGACTCCAGGAAGTGGTCCCGAAGCTTACCATCACGTGGCCAATCGCAGCCAACGTCAGTTGATCGTGGACAATTAGACCCAAGCCGAAACATAACATCAAGTATAACCCGTAAAAACAAAGTTTTTCACTATAAATCCTTTATATGCGTGGCGGCTAGAGTCCTCTCGTCCTCTGGCTTGAGATGGCTGCCACCTATGGGTCAGATGATTGCATTGCACCATTAAGCAATTGGTAATTAAATATAATATTTTTGTCCTAAAGTGTAAAATTTTTGAAAACATTTTTCACGAACATGAATTGTCACGCACAACGAGTCTGTGTGGAAAATGTCAGCTCGATTGGATCACGGGAAGTGGGTTAAAAAATGACCGAAAGATTTGCACGGTCGTAAGCAAGCAAGCGAACTTAATATAAAGGATTTAAAAAGAATTTTGATTTAAAGCTTTCGTGACTGCAGGGATTCATATTCTTGGTTCTTTCGGTAAAGTCACGTAGAAGGGAAATAATAAAATCCACAGCAAGAACATTTTCTTGCTGTGGATTTCACACCTGTTGCAGTCGAAACGTCGTGAGAATTTTGATTGTTTCATATTTTTATTATTCTATTATTTCCCTTCTACGTGACTTTACCGAAAGAACCAAGAATATAAAAAAGAATGTATTTTTTTAAAATGCTAGAATATAGTATTGTCATCAGTATGACATAAGTATACCAAGTTTGCAGTCGATACCACATTGGGAAGTGGGTTAAAATCGAGTTACAAGATTTGAGGATACGACAACAACAACAGAGTTAATAGAAAGCGTGTAAAATAATAAAAAGTAAATAGTTTATGGCTTAGGCACATAACACGAGACCAAGTTTCTGCCCTGAAGCCTCCTCTTGCCCGCTCACCCCCATGCCCCCTCACCAGAGGTCGCAACCGAGTACCCGATACCCGTACCCTACCCGATACCCGGCTACCCGTACCCAGCCGGGTACGGGTACCCGTTTGCGACCCTGGTGCGGCCGGGTACGGGTACGGGTAGGCCGTGAGTCACTGGTGAGTCACTGTTTGTCACTCATTTCCCAACGTCTTGTCTCTTCTCACAATTCAAGTTCCTAGAATCAACCCACCCGCGCCTGCAACATGGCTTCATCCCAGAGGTCGCAATCAGGTACCCGATACCCGTACCCTACCCGTACCCGGCCGGGTACGGGTAGGGTACGGGTACGGCCGGGTACAGGTACGGGTACCCGTTTGCGACCCTGGTGCGGCCGGGTACGGGTAGGGTACCCGTTTGCGACCCTGGTGCGGCCGGGTACGGGTACGGGTAAGGAATCAAAACCCGTTTGCGACCTCTGCCCCTCACCACCACTCACTCACTCCGTCTGTCACCCTACAATCCTCACCACACGTCACCTTCCCGCACTCACCGCGTAGAAGTTCACTCCTCACCCCACCCCACTCACCCCACATCACTCACCCCACCCCACTCACCCCACCCCACCCCACTCACCCCACATCACCCCTCACCCACGCCACGTCCCCACACTCACCACCCCTCACTCACCTCTCCTCACCCCACATCACCCCTCACTCACCACACCCCACGTCACCTGACCTATACACTCACTCACCCCTCACTCACCCACCCCACATCCTCTCAGCACCCCACGTCCGCTCACCCCATGCCACTTCAACCCCTAACCACCCCACGTCCCCACACTCACCACCCCTCACTCACCTCTCCTCACCCCACATCACCCCTCACTCACCTCACCCCATGTCACCTGACCTATCCACTCACTCACTCACCCCCCCTCACTCACCCCTCACTCACCCCACATCACCTCACCCCACGTCACTCACCCCACGTCACTCACCCCACGTCACTCACCCCACGTCACTCACCCCACGTCACTCACCCCACGTCACTCACCCCACGTCACTCACCCCACGTCACTCACCCCACGTCACTCACCCCACGTCACTCATCCCACGTCACTCACCCCACGTCACTCACCCCACGTCACTCACCCCACGTCACTCACCCCACGTCACTCACCCCACGTCACTCACCCCACGTCACTCACCCCACGTCACCTCCCCACTCACTCACCCCCCTCCTCACCCTCACCACCCACCGTGCTGCTCCCAGTCTCTCAGGCTCTCGGGGTCAGACGCGATGCTGCTGCCGCACAACTCTTCGGGCAGCGGTTCGAGCGCTGCCCCGGGCTGCCCGGGCTGCCCCGGCTGCCCGGGCTGCCCGGCCGCCACCGCCTTGTGGAGCGAGGGCCGCAGGGCCTCCAAGTCGGCCTCGGCCAGCTCCCGTGCCAGGGCCTCCCGTTGGGGGCCCGCCAGCTCGCCCCAGAAGGCCAGGGCGTGCTGCTGCCCGCAGCCGTGCAGGCGACGCCGCAGCGCCTCCAGCCACGGGGGGCAGCCACCCTCCTCGCTACCGGGGGGCAGGGGGGGCAGGGCTGCCCCTGCCGCTGCTGCCCCGTGAGCCGCCTCTTGGTCGCCCATGGAGGGGGTGCAAGGCACGGGAGGGAGAGGGAGTTACGTGTGGCTGTGTACGGTGCGAACGAAGTTCAGCATGCAGAGTGGGAGCAGCGGGGGGTGGGTGGTCGTGAGAGAGCGGTGGCGATATGGTGAGGGCAGCGCGAGAGGGCAGCAGCAAGGGGGCAGCACGAGGGGGCAGCACGAGAGGGCAGCAGCAGCAAGAGGGGTTAGCACGAGGGGGCAGCACGAGAGGGCAGCAGCACGAGAGGGCAGCAGCAGCACGAGAGGGCGGCACGAGAGAGCAGCACGAGGGGGCAGCAGCAAGAGGGCAGCAGCACGAGAGGGCAGCAGCAAGAGGGCAGCAGCAAGAGGGCAGCGCGAGAGGGCAGCGCAAGAGGGCAGCAGCAGCACGAGAGGGCAGCAGCACGAGGGGGCAGCAGCACGAGAGGGCAGCAGCAGCACGAGAGAGCAGCACGAGAGGGCAGCACGAGAGGGCAGCAGCACGAGAGAGCAGCAGCAGCACGAGAATGAAGCTCCCTCCAATCGTCAACTTGCTCCCAATGGGAACCAGGAAGTCACGCGCGGAATCGATTCGGGGGAATCAACACCTCGATTTTTGGAATCGATTCCACCACCACGCGACTTTGCTTTATAAAAAAAAAAAAATCTTCACCGATTTAATCGCTCGGCTTTAATCGATAAGCGGCGTCGCATCTTTCGCGAGGTTGCTTCCCCCGTTGGACGCGCCACGTAAATGTAAACTATCTCTAGTTAAACTTAATAAGCGGGTCTTTTTTGTTGTTGTTCGTGTTTCGATTCATCGGCGGGTTAAAAAAATACGACTGTCGTGGAATCGATTCGCGACGAGGTCAGCTGATCATGTGCCGCGTGGACACGGCAGTCACGTGGGGAGAGGCCACGTGGAAAGGTAACTCCTGTACTGTAGAGCTAGTTTCTTGGTTCTTTCGGTAAAGTCACGTAGAAGGGAAGTAATAAAATAATAATAAAAATATAATAAACAATTCTCACGACGTTTCGGCCACAGTCTCCCCGACAGACCTAGTCTTCACCTGAGGACGGCTGCTTGCGTTGTGGCCGAAACGTCGTGAGAATTATTTTATTATGTTTTATTTTTATTATTTTATTATTTCCCTTCTACGTGACTTTACCGAAAGAACCAAGAAGATGAATCCCTGCAGTCACGAAAGCTTTAAATCGAAATTGTAGAGCTATTGTTGATTGGGGCCGTCCATAAATGACGTCACGCACCTGGGGGGGGGGGGGGTCAGACATTTGTGACGATGTGTGACGAGGGGGGGGGAGTTTGAGAAATGTGACGTCACATCAAAATGCGCAACTTTTAATAAATATAGACAACACGTTCTACTTAATTAAACTTTTTAATAAATATTTTCTCCTACAACATCAGAGTGCAGCGCCACATTAAGTACGCACTACAATGACAATAGTTTAAAGCGATTTGAAGCATGTTTTATTTTTTTTGGGGGGGGGGGGGGGCAGAGCTTTGTGACGTCATATTTGAGGGGGGTCTGACTTTTTGTAAAACCCTCCACCCCCTCGTCACACATCGTCACAAATGTCTGACCCCCACCCCCCAGGTGCGTGACGTCATTTACGAACGGCCCCTTATCAATTGGATATGTATGGCAGTAGCCAAATACTGCGGTGTACACACGTGGCGTTGAGTCTAAATGTGTTGGGAAAAAATTAACCCGTAAAAACAAAGTTTTTCACTATAAATCCTTTATATGCGTGGCATCGTTTTTATTTTATTATTCATTTCTGTTTTTCTTCAGTAAGAGTTTCATTTTGATCACATTGGTATTTTAAATTAAATATGAAAAAAAAATTTTCCTAAAAAGTGTAAAATTTTGGAATTTTTTTTCACGAAAATAAATTGTCACGCACAACGAGTTTGTGTGCAAAATGTCAGCTCGATTGGATCACGGGAAGTGGGTTAAAAAACGACCGAAAGATTTGCACGGTCGTAAGCGCGCAAGCAAGCAAGCAAGTGAACTTAATATAAAGGATTTAATAAGTATAACCCGTAAAAACAAAGTTTTTCACTATAAATCCTTTATATGCGTGGCGGCTAGAGTCCTCTCGTCCTCTGGCTTGAGATGGCTGCCACCTATGGGTCAGATGATTGTGTACCAGTATTAAGCAATTGGTAATTAAATATTTAATTTGTTTTCCCTAAACAGTGTAAAATTTGGGGGAAAAAATTTCACGAACATTAATTGTCACGCACAACGAGTCTGTGTGCAAAATGTCAGCTCGATTGGATCACGGGAAGTGGGTTAAAAAACGACCGAAAGATTTGCACGGTCGTAAGCAAGCAAGCAAGCGCGCAAGCAAGCAAGCGAACTTAATATAAAGGATTTAAAAAACGAAGTTTCCCGGAAAAGAAATCCACGCGACCACGGGGTGTGGAAGGGGGGGGGGGACATGCAAAGTCTCTAGTTCCTCCGGTTTTTTTTGTACTTCCACGTTTAGAAACAACGCGCGTTTAGAGTATTTAGGCAACTGTGTGTGTCCACGTGAAGATACGCCACTTCGTTGAGCTGTCACGTCTGAAAAAACATCTCGATGTAGCTCAGTGGGTCTTAGCTGGTCAAATAAAATGTTTTTTGTTTAAATAGTTTAATATCTAGAGCCTCCCTGTAACGAATAGGGGTCGTTGCTACTTTCTCCCCGAGATTACACTGGTCAACACACTTTTCTGGCAGAAGGTATTCCAACGGGTTTAAGGTAATTTTGGGGGGTGCTGATTCCAAATCTGGCATCAGTTTTTGTCTATCACGTCACGTTTTTGAGATATCAATTATTGCATTTTCAATAAAAACTGCAGAAGAAAAATGTTAAGTAAATGTGGATATCTACATAAAATGATATTATAAACACACTATCCTAAAAATACAGCACCATATTTTAACACTAAAGCAGTCACTGACTCGCAACAACTTGCAATCATAAGTGACAGAGTTAATTTCGGGTAAAATCAATAAAAATGGGGTATGCCGATAGCATAAAAATGAGATGTGTTAAAGCAAATCTGAGATCAGATTTGGAATCAGCACCCTGAAATTAGTCTAAAACAGCTGCAAAAGTCCAGGCCAGAAAACAATGTTTTTTTTTGTTGACCAGTGATAATCAACATCGGTCGCACACGAAGTTGATGGAGTCTGGTTACTGCCCGCCAGAGGGCAGCAGTTGTCCTAAGCCCAGAACCCAAAGCACTCTCTTTTAAAATCCTTTATATTAAGTTCGCTTGCTTGCGTGCTTGCGTGCTTGCTTGCTTACGACCGTGCAAATCTTTCGGTCGTTTTTTTAACCCACTTCCCGTGACAATTAATGTTCGTGAAAATTATTTTCCAAAATTTTACACTTTTTAGGACAAGAATATTATATTTAATTACCAATTGCTTAATGGTGCAATGCAATCATCTGACCCATAGGTGGCAGCCATCTCAAGCCAGAGGACGAGAGGACTCTAGCCGTCACGCATATAAAGGATTTATAGTGAAAAACTTTGTTTTTACGGGTTAATTTTTTTTAAACCAGGGGCAGCTTTCACGATTCACAACAACAACGATTGTTCTACACGAGCCCAACACACGCCAAGTGGTTGGGGTTGTTGAACTGATCACGATACAATTGTTGTAAAGAGCTTGGGGAGGAGAGAGAGACGAAACATGATGAGAGAGGGGAAATCCACAGTGGAGGGGCGAGATAAGTTGTCACCTGTAGTGTGGGTGCATAAGTAAGTCAGTGGCTGAGTGAGTTGGTGGGTGAGTGAATGAGTGCATGAGTGAGTCAGTGAGTGAGTGAGTGGGTGAGTGAATGAGTAAGTCGGCGAATCAGTGGGCGAGTGCATGAGTGAGTTGGTGGGTGAGTGAGTGGGTGGTTGTGTGGGTGGGTGGGTGAGTGGGTGGGTGAGTGAATGAGTAAGTCAGTGGGTGGGTGGGTAAGTGGATGGGTGAGTCGGCGAGTGAGTGGGTGAGTGCATGAGTGAGTCAGTGAGTGAGTTGGTGGGTGAGTGAGTGGGTGGGTGAGTGAATGCGTAAGTCAGTGGGTGAGTGGGTGAATGGATGGGTGAGTAGGCGAGTGAGTGAGTGAGTGAATGAGTAAGTCGGCGAGTAAGTGGGTGGGTGAGTGAATGAGTAAGTCAGTGGGTGGGTGGGTGAGTGGATGGGTGAGTTGGTGGGTGAGTGAGTTGGTGGGTGAGTGAGTTGGTGGGTGAGTGAATTGGGTGGGTGAGTGAATGAGTAAGTCAGTGGGTGGGTGGGTGAGTGAGTAAGTCAGTGGGTGGGTGGGTGAGTGGATGGGTGAGTCGGCGAGTGAGTGGGTGAGTGCATGAGTAAGTCAGTGAGTGAGTTGGTGGGTGAGTGGGTGGGTGAATGCGTAGTTCAGTTGGTGAGTGAGTTGGTGGGTAAGTGGGTGAGTGAGTGAATGAGTAAGTCAGGGGGTGGGTGTGTGGGTAAGTGAGTGAGTGAGCGTGTGAGTAAGTCAATGGGCTGAGTGAGTTGGTTGGGTGAGTTAGCGGATGAGTTGGTGTTTAGTGGGTGAGTGAGTGGGTGTGTGAATGACTAAGTCAAATAGTCGCTCCAAGCCTGGGGCGTGTCATTCAGACTCTGTCTTCTCGACAGACCTGTTCTCCACCTGAGGACGGCTGCTTGCGTTGTGGCCGAAACGTCGTGAGAATTGTTTTATAATGTTTTATTTTTATTATTTTATTATTTCCCTTCTACGTGATTTTACCGAAAGAACCAAGAAGATGAAGTGTTTTGTATAATATTTTTTCTACCTACGTCACTTTACCTCTCCACCCGCGTACCATGAATACAAGGGCAATTGCCCGAAACGTCTGCTAGTATATCAAATTCAGGTTCATGTTTTAGGTATAGCCCTGTGAGCCATTCGGCTCTTGAATCGGGTGCAACCGCAACAAACAAAAAATGAACAAGAAAACATCTTAAAGTGACTATGTGCAAACAGAAAATCCAAGAAAAGACAGCAAAATATTGCAGAAAAGGCACCGTACACCAACACTATGTTTTCCCGTGTGGGGTGTGGGGTGGGGTGTTGTTATTCGTTGAGTCATTGACTTGATGTTTGCGTGCATTTTCAAATGACTCGAGCTGCCGAGATATGACGAGAATCGGCCCGCATTCCATGCAGTTTGGTCAATGCACGCGGTGGAGGAGGCGGTGGCTCTCTGACTATATTTAGACGTGGGCGTATGTGTGTGTGTATGTGTGTGTGTATGTGTGTGTAGAGGAGTTGGAGGCGCTGCTGCTGAGACTGGAGCGTGCCACTAAGAGGTGGGGCCTTACCATCAGCCCCACCAAAACCAAGCACCTGCCTGGGTATTTTGTACCATCGGACACTCCACCCCCACAACTCCCAATTGGTGATGGGGCAGTTGTGGAGAGAGTGGAGAGTTTCCCATACCTGGGCAGTATGCTTATGACCGGCTCCAGTCTATCAGCAGAGGTCTCACTCCGAATCA